TGACTCAATGGTGTTCAGTAAGAATTGTTTTTGGCCCAAACAACTAACTTGCTGAAATTTGAATATGCCATGATGGAGTTGTTTGGAGATAAGTCAGCTTTGATTTATGCATTTAAGTAGTTAGGAGATCTTCATTAACTTTAGCGTCATAACAACTTATTCCCAAACCTAATAATAAGTTGTTGACAAAGGTGTTAACTTAAGATTATGTTAGAGGTTGAGCTTCTAGTTTGCACGGATAGTTGGTGACATAATTTTTCCTGTCCTGCTTGTGTGTTCAGTTTGTATCGCTTAGGTTAGAAGCGTTTCAACCAATCTCACTGTAAACAAATATACAAGGCATTTGTATAATGAACTCAGTTTTAAGTGGTTGTTTTCCCCCTATATCTTGTTTATTATGGAGAATGTAAGGAAGATTTTATTCTGGAAATCAAAGCATCAATGTATCATAAGCTATGCAATTTGGGAATACTGGTACAGTCAAATGGAGTATAGAGTCCGAAGACATTTTTACTGAGAAATATTATATCCCTTCTGGAAGCTATGTGCTTGTTTTTCCTAATTGGTATTTAATTTTTTTAACAACAAATGTGTATTTGTTTGTTTGTATTATTGTTTTTTTGGATTTTTGGTTTTCCATATATACTAAATTATGCAGTGATTACTAATTTTGAATATGGAATTTAGTCACATGAATACATGATGTGTTTTATGAACCATATAGACCTTACTTCCACCACAAAAATCCCTATAAATCTTTACATGAAATTTGTCTGACTCTCTCATACTCCATAGTCCATATTATAGTTGTGTAGAGGTGTCTCGCTCAACTCCATGTATTCTGCAAGTCATTAAACATATGTGAAGTTGACAGTAGCAACCACTTTAACAATGAACTCTGCAAGTATATACAGAAATTTGAGTTGACTACATCCCTTTATTTTTTTCTGTCAGTTTTGTTGCATTGACTCTTTCTTGTTTTCTTGTAGTCGTTTTTGGCCATCTGTGAAGGCATTCCTCTATGAAGTTCCAATGTTGGGATGGATCATAAGGTTTCTTTTCTGGTGAGTTGAACTTAAAGTTGTTTTATTGTTTAAGATGTTCTATGCTTCAAAGCCGTTTGATTTTCACAGGATGGTCTGCTGACATTGAACCCATAGTTCAATCGTTAGTGTAAAGTAATTGAATTTAACTTCACTTGGTGACAGGACATCTGAGTCTTAGTTTACTCACAAAATTTATCGTTTTCTGAATTTTTTGTTTCTTTTCCATTTTTCTTGTTATTATGCAGAGAGATTCCAATTTAACAGTCATGTCTGCCACCTTTTTTTTATCGTAAAGAATACATGTGCACACTAAACACTTGCCACAACTTTTTTGAAAGGTGTTTACAGTAAAATATGCAACTCTTTGTGTTGTTGTAGAAAACGTTTTGTGGTAAAATTAATATCGGAATTGGTATGAAAGAAAGCAGCAGGTAGAGTAGGGTGTATACATAATTTATTGGTCCCGATGCAGTTGCTTCCTAATTTCACTAATTTGTGAAGGCTTTAAAGAACTACTTTAAGAATTTATAGATGAGATGATTGTAAAAGTTAAAAGTTTGGATCAGGATCCTCTACCCCTCGAAACCATACCAAACTGTACCTGACTATTCAGTCTATTCTCACTAGTCACATCACATGTACTGTTTATGATGAACAAATTTGGCCCATGATTGTTAAAATGAAATCTCTCTGCACAGTTTTTGGATGGACAAGTTTAATAATCAGGTATAGTCTGGTATAGTTGCAAATGGGTAGAGGATGTAAGTCCTCAACGTTTACTTGTTACAAAAGCTATGGTATCTGTTTTATAAGGGAATATATTGTTTTCGGAAGATTTACTGTTTACTTAAAATACAGTAAATTAATGACAGGTTCCAAAAAATCCCTGTTGATTCATAAATTTGGACAAAACTGACCTTTAGTTGGCTGTCCCAAGCGCTGAACCATGTGAGGCTGAGCAGCTGATTCATGACTTTTTACGACTTTTAAGAATTTTAATTCCTTTAGGAAATGAATGATTTTTTGAATTTTATAAATGATAGTTTCTTAGGGATTTATCGTGGTTTAGGTCTGTATAAGATATACAGGTTTAGGTCTGGAGGAGTTCGGGCTTTCTTATATCGTAAGACTAAATCCTAAACCCTAAGCTCCAAAATGGAATCTGAAAATGAAATGGAAGCTATTTAATTGAGTGACATTGATGTATTCTTACTGAGTTAGGATTTAGTAGGCACATTAGGATTTAGGGCATTAAAAAAGTTGACGAAAAACAATTGAAAAAGAAAAGATCCAGGCCGATTGGCTGGCCAGGCCGATCACTTGGCTTTGGAAATTTTGTCAGCGCTAGCTAAAAATGTGAGAAAAGTTCAGACCTATTGATGAAAAACACCACTGTTTGGGACCTCTTGAGAAAGAAACCCATGGAAATAAGTAAGAAATGTTTCTGGTTTGCAGCATATATGCTGGATGTGTGAGATTCATGCCCTAGATTGCAGCAGTTACCAATTTTAACAAATATTGCCACGGTTCCTTTTTGCAAAGTCCATAGAAAAAGAAATAATTTATATTTTGTTTGGAATGGCCATAAACTTAAATATATTATCTTCGTATGACTTGCAGATTCTTGATCTCCTTCAGGACGGGCTTCGGTTGAGCACCCCATTGATACCTGGTGTCTGCTTTTGAAATATCTCATGTCTCATTTTTGTGGTATCATGATTCATATGGCTTCGTGATTCTATCAGAAGCTGAAGGAGATGTACCAATTGGCTTCTTATGTGTCGGGGATTTCAGCATCAGACTAGCCAAAAAGAGAGAGACTACAAATTGGCTTCTATATGATCCACACTACCTTTGAGGCCTAAACAAGAAAATGTTTCTGTTCATTTTATTGTTTATATATTAAATTTTCTATAACAAAATGGGTAAACTGCCAATTACCCCCCTAAACTATCACGCTAGTTGAAATCTACACAATGAATTAATTTTTCAGTCAATTTAGCACTTGTACTAAATTTTATCGCCAATTTGCCTCCCACCGTTAGTTTTTGACAATTTCCATCCAAATTTCTGTTAAAAACACCATGTGAATGGCACATGCCAACCCTGCAACCCAGATTACTCTGCGAATCCTTTGTGAACCCTCTCTCTATCTCCTCGTCTCTTCTTTTCTCTACCCTCTCCCCGTTTCTTCCTCCTAGGCCTCAGCCCACCCTACCCCAACAATACCAAACCGAGACAACCGCTGAAAAATCTCTCTTTCAGTCTATGTATTCCGTCGCTGGCCACGTCATCGTCCTCACAACTAAACGCCAAGTAGCCAATCGCGAGCCCCAAAAAGAGAAGCACAACTCCATCGAGTCGGGTGGCCGAGAACTTCCCAAATGCCGGGGATAAAGAAGAAGAGATTGGGGCGGGTGGCCATGGTCACAAGATCTTGGTGATTTGGGTTTGTAATTCAAAATCCCCTCCCCCCAGATTATTCTCTCATTTGAGCTCTTTGGTGAAGCAGAGAAAAATATAATAATTTTTGCTGGTCTCCAGTAGCTTATTGGAATTGTGTTCTGAGAGAGAGAGAGAGAGAGAGAGAGAATAAGAGAGGTTAAAAAATTAATTTTTAATTCAATAGTGAATCATGTGCTTGACATGTGACTTTTTTAACAGAGACTTGGATGGAAATTGCTAAAAACTAATGGTGGGCGGTAAATTGGCGATAAAATTTAGTATGAGTACTAAATTGGCTGAAAAATTAATTCAGGGTGTAGATTTCAACTAGCGTGATAATTCAGGAAGGTATTTGGCAGTTTACCCTAACAAAATTGATCTCTCTTGTCCTCGCCCCCTTCACCTTTGCATCAAACGACCGTACGTAATTCTTCCATTTTTTATGTTGGGTTTAAGCAGAAGGATGCAAGCATCCGTAAGTATATTATTGCCTGCTTCGTCGACATTGTCACAGGGCCAAAATTCTTGGCTTATTCGAAAGCCGACCACGCCCTGTCTCGTTTACCGTCTTGAAATGGTGCAAGGTCACGCCATGCAATGGTTGTGTGTCAGACTATTAGCGTCTTACACACGTAAGTATGTCATTGTTTCAGTTCACGCACCATCTATAATAGGAGATGGTTTGTAGGTCAAACATTCAAGTCGCTTTACCCAAGTTACATTGTACAGAATTGTACATGGGTCAAACTATCAAATCGTTTTAGCCAAGTTACATTGTACAAAATTGTACAATTTAATTTTAGAGAACTTCAAAATAACTAGGCTTTTCATGAAAAATGAAAATAGTTTTTGGAGAAGATTCAAAAAATGAAATAGAAACTTTTGGGTTAAGTGTAGAAATAACTTTTGAACTATTACCCGAGTTTCACTTTAGTTCTTAAATTCATTTATTGAATCCTATAATCCCAAATTTCATTTTCAAGTATGTTAGTCCAAAGATTGTTGCTACAATTAACTTATCGAGAATTATTCTCATACCCAATCGAAAGAGGATTTGATGCCCTTTTGTTTATTAAAGGACATGAATGGGTTAAATTAAAGCTGGCCAAGAGTTTAGCAGGCAAGAAAAAATGAAAATATTAGCTTAGAGTTGGATAGTGAGGTGGTATGTCTAGACTGGTCTTAAATGCTGCCAGGGAGAGTTGGATTTTGAGGCATTAAAGTGATATCTACTTGCCATCTTAAATGCCTGGCCTGCCCTCCTCCTATCAATGTAAGCCAATTTAAGAACACTCTTAAGTAGACAAGCACCCTATGCATGACCTCTGCAGTCCAAAAAGTTAAGAGGATAATTTTGGATGCCCTACATACACCATACTTTCTCTTTTGCATTCAAAGTTTCTTCAATTTGGTTTCTCTTCTTCTTCTCTTTTTCTTTTTATTATTTAGCTTTTCTATCACCTCACTTCCTGAAGGATAGCTCAAAGAAAAGAAGAATCCAAGCTAAGTATGGAACTTCCAGAGCTCTCTTTAGCTCCAACACAGGCACAGCTGGTGTTTAAGAAAAGCATTAGTGGTTCTAATAATCCATTGGAATCAGCTGAAAGCAACACTTCTAGGAAGAGGAAGCTTTTCCAGGATCACCAACTCTTGAAGACTGAAGCATCTTTCCAAACAAGTGTTGATCTTCAACTTAAAGACCCCCTACCATTAGATTGGGAGCAGTGTCTTGATCTTGAGGTCTCTCTCTCTCTCTCTCTCTCTCTCTCTCTCTCTCTCTCTCTCTCTATATATATATATATTATTTATATTCTAATTTATAACATATGAACAAGTTATACTACGTGATTGTGCCATTCTATAATTACTCGATGATATGTTTAGTTATGATTCTTATGTTTTCGATTAAGTACATACAAATTTTATGAAATATTAGTTGTCTTAAAAATTATAATCAATTGTCAGTCAGGAAAAATGTACTACCTAAACAGAAAGACCTCAAGGAAGAGTTGGAACTGGCCTATGGACCAGGCAGTGAACCTTGAGCTGAACATCTCAACGATCTCAGGTTCAAGTTCTGATCAGCGATCCAGCCCAAGCCTTAAGACAATCGAAGAGGCCAAGAATGAGGAGCAACAAAGTAACATGGTGGCTTTGGCTTGTTTCAATTGCCATCTCCTTGTCATTCTCTCCAAGTCTTCTCCTGCTTGCCCCAACTGCAAATATGTCCACTCACTTCCAACTTCCATCCAACCAAATTATAATTCATCTTAAATACAAAATTGAGCTGCCATAAAGGCACTAGAAGCTATAAAATCAACCTCTCGACTTATGCTCATGCATATGTTTGGTTTTCATTAATGTTGTATTCAGAGACTGGTTAATTATAAATTATAATCTACGCATGCAAAGATGTTGTGTAATTTTGTTATTTTTGGTTGATCCTAGTCTTAGTTTGGGAGGTAGAACATTATGGGTTTTAGTTTAATTATCAACGTTTTTACCCTTGAACTATGACCCTAATCGAACTTTACTACCCGAACTAACTTTTCAGTCAATTTAGTACATGAACTTATATAAATAGCCAATTTAGCTCTTATCGTCAACTTTTTCGAATTCATCCACTATTCCGTTTGAAAAGTTACATGCTTGGTACATGACTTACTATTTTATTTTTTAAAAATAAATTATTAAAGGACTAATGGAAGATGAAGGGGAATAATTGAAATCGAAAACTGATGAGCAATTTGTTAAACCCTAGATTAGGAGGAATTAAAATTACATGGGAGAAGAAGAATGGTCATCACATTTTTTTTTTAAAGGTAAGCAGTGAAATAATTCAATAAGAAACGAAGCAAAAAATGGTAGAACCTTAGATCTGAAAAAGGAAAACTTGCAGAAAAACAAAGAAAATGAGAAAAGGAAATTCAATTAATTTCATTCATACCTCTCAAGCAAAAGAGAAAGAGAGTTTATACAATTCTTGATCGTGGCCAGTTGGCTATGATTTAGCAAAGGTTCTAACAAAACTCTTACAAATGCGGAAAGGACAAAGTTGTTATTCTGTGGAATTAGCCAGGTGATACTAAGGCAATAATAAGGCGATAGTAAGTGGGCTATAAAGAGTATTAGGCCCAAATGGGATTGGGCCCTAACATTCCCACCCCCTTAAGTACAGCTATGACCTTAAGGCTGAAAAAAGGGGAAATGCTGCTGGAGAACTAAGAGCATCTCCAACTGATATGTAAAAAGTGCCACATAGACATTGAACGGTTAGAAATAACACTCACATCACTCCAATCGAATTTTCAAAGCTAATGTGGAATGAAAGATAGAGGTTCAGCTGTTATTTTTGACATCCCAAAAGCAAGATGTCAAATGAATATTTTATTATTTTTTAAAGCCAGCTGGTTGTAACTTTCATTTATTATTTTTATTTTTTATTTTTTTTCTTCTTTATCTTAAATGATTTGACTGTTACAATAATTATTTATTTAACATATCGGGTGGAGTAAAAAATTGTGTAAATGTCAAATTGTCACATCAGCCATCAAATTTAAATTTGATGTTTGATATTTGACATCTCCCTTAGAGATGCTCTACAGCATCTTCCCAGGTTGCATCCTCTTCAGGAAGGCCCTCCCATTGAATGAGCCAGCGAGTAACCGGTTTGTTCTGGCGCTGCAAAATTCCACTGTTCAACACCTTGGTTGGCACCCAAGAAACTACCCCAACGGATAGAGGAGGTAGTGTGGGAGATGAAGTGACATGGGCACCAACCTTTTTTTTTAGCAAACAAACATGGAACACATTATGGAGTTTGGAGTTGCCAGGCAACTGTAATTTGTAAGATACCGAATCCACCCGAGAAAGCACTTGAAATGGACCATAATATCTGGGTGACAGTTTGGGATGTTGGGGATTATGGATGGTCGCCTGACGATACGACTGTAAGCAGAGAAAAACCCAGTCGCTAGGCTGAAATTCCCTTTCAGTACAGCGCCTATCGGCAAAATGTTTTATCCGTTCTTGATCTACTTGTAGGTTGAGACGAAGTTGACGAAGAATGGTGTCCCTGTCCTAGAGTGTAGTATCCACGGCATCAAATGCGGAAGTGCCGAGAATGTAAGACTGAATAGTTGGAGGTGTTTTCCCATAGATGTCTTCATGAGGGGTCATTTGAATGGCAGAATGGTAGGTAGTATTATACCACCATTCGGCTCATGGGAGCCATGTGGACCAGCTAGTGGGTTTATCCCCTGCAAAACAAGGCAAATAATGCTCAAAGGTACGGTTCAAGACCTTAGTTTGGCCATCGGACTAGGGATGATATGCAGAGTTGTGACAAAGCTTGGTCCCCTGTGAATGAAAGAAGGCTGTCCAAAACTGGCTCAAGAATGTAGGATCAAGGTCACTCCCTATGGTGCGAGGTAGACCGTGAAGACGAAAAATCTCCTTGATAAAGAGTTGAGCCACCTGAGCGGCTGTGTAAAGGTATTTGAGAGTTACGAAATGGCCATATTTCGACAATTGATCAACCATAACCAAAATGCAGTTCTTCCCATGGCTTGAAGGTAATCCTTCCACAAAGTTCATGGCGACATCTTGCCATATGGTTTTGGGAATCGGTAGGGGCTATAATAACTGGGTGGGCGAATTGATTCATACTTGTTGCGTTCACAAGTATTGCAGGCAACGTCGAATCTCTTGACCTTGGCTTTGAGCCCCGACCAAAGAAAAGTACGCATGATGCATTTATACGTGCGCAAATAGCCAGAATGCCCTACAGTTGGTGTGTTGTGGAATTCTGCCAAGATCTTGTCCCTCCAAGTAGCAGTACAAGGCACAAACAATCGGTGCTTATAATATAGCTTGTCATGAGTCCAGGTGTAGTTCGGAAGAGAATTTGGATTGGTATGTATTGTTTGAATGAGTTGCTGGGTAAGAGGATCTTGGAGACATGCCTTTGCGATTTGAGGGATATAGTCAAAAATAGGAGTAGTTAACCCCATTAAAGCCAGTAACTCATGTTTTCTTGAGAAACTATCAGGTCCAGCATTATTCACACCCACTCGGTATGCAATTTCATAGTCGTAACCCAGCAATTTAAGTAGCCATTTGTCCTGAGTAGGGGTAGTGATTTGTTGTTCCAAGAAATACTTGATGGTCTGGTGATCCGTAAAAATTTTAAACTTCCAACTAGGCCTAGGCGAGGATCGGTTTGGAATGGTGGAGGGTTCTTCCGTGAACTAAACCAAAGACTTTGGTAGAACATTTTCTCTTCCGTTAACCAAACAAAAGACTTCGGTAGACTTCGGATCGGTTAACCCATTACATTTGGTTCGGAACGGATTGGTAGGCCGGTAGTACCGTAATAAAAACATACTAATAAAAATACAATTTATAATAATTTCACATGACATAAGTTCTTGAACAAATATACCAAATTATCCTTGTAAAATACAAAATCAAATAACTTAGTTTTAAAGTTACAAACGAACATTAAAAGTACATAATAAAATAGCAGATAACATTACAAAACAATAAGAAATTAGTTTAAACGTTTCAAAGAACCAAAAATTGCAGCATAGAGGCTGATTTGTGTACTGGAGCCAAAGAAAAACAAAGTTAAGAATAAATATAAAGTATATGGGCATGTTATTTGAGATAAAGGAAGGTTATTAATCACTATACCATTGAATATGTACTCAAGATGGACTGGCAACCACTTTTTCTATCATTTCAGAACTAGAATATACCTCTACATCATTAAACAAATTATGAAAGTGAGAAAATAATCATATGTCATATGAATGCAATTGAAACCAAAAGAAATATAAAAAATTAAAATTACTTACCAATCTCAATTTTCTCCAAAGCATCATAGAACTCAAGTTCCTCCTTAGTGGGATCCTTGTACAAGGAGAACTCCTCGGCTTTCAACCAATCACTTGTGCAAACCAAGGCCTCCACCATTCTTGGAGTCAAAGAAGCACAAAAAGGATCTACAATTCTACCACCCAAACTAAAGGCAGATTCTGAAGCCACAGTAGAGATTGGAATGCCAAATACATCCTTAGCCATTTGGGATATAACTGGAAACTTTGGACTATTTTCTTGCCACCAAGCCAACAGGCCAAAGTTGGGATTTCTAAGATTTTCAGGTGGCTCTAACAAATACTTATCCACTTCATTTCTTATCTCAACAACATCCATCACCTGTCTCAACTTCATAAATTTAGACAATCTTTATGCTTCAACATCATCTTCATAATTTACCATAATCGTATCCCCAATTCTCTCCAAATTGCTATTATTATAACTTTGGGCAGTCTTTGTCAGCTACTTTATACACATCATACATGTGGATTATAAATTCCTTGACTCCTTTGAGTAACTCATTAACCTTGGAGGGATTGGATTCTATATCGGAAAGGCTAAATAAGAGATACTCCATTTTGTATCGTGGATCAAGAACAATTGCAATAAGCAACAATTTGTTAATGTCCTCAACCTTCCCCCAATACTTGTCAGACTTTCTTTTCATTGATGTTGCTACGCTTTTCATGAGAGAATCCTCACTTCTACAACACTTTTGCAATTAAACAAAAATAGCAAACATTTGATGGAAAGCTTGGTGAGAAGTCACTACCTTTGACCCACTAAATTTCAAAGTGGCTTCGTAGTACAACTTTAAGAACTTGATCAAGACTCTAGCACAATCCCAATCATTTGAGGCAGGAGGCCCCACTCTTTTTTTCTTCTCTCAACATCATCGTCCATAAAATAACCTACAAAGTGTGGGTCTCCATCATCCTCCAACATCCTTTCAAAAGTTTTTTGATACTTCAATGTCCCTTCCAACAATAAATAGGTGGAATTCCATCTTGTAAACACATCTAAGGGCACAAGCCCTTTGATATCAAGTTTCTCAAAAGCAACACATCTTCTCCAAATCTCCAACCTTGCGGGTGAAGAGTGGATGTACCTCACTGAATTAGTAATAGCCATAATGGAGTTATCCAATTCTTTCATCCCTTCAAACACAATTAAATTCAGAATATGTGCATAACATCGCACATGCAAACAATCATCACCAAACATAAGTATCTTGCTCTTGGTCAACCTACCCTTCATATAACTTATCATTTATCATTAGGAGTAGCATTATCAACAATAATAGTAAACACTTTTTTTATACCTCAATCATTCAAGCAATAATCCAAAAGCTTTCCAATAATTTCACCCCTTATGGTTTGGAATGACACAAAACCTTATAATCCTCTTGTGCAAGTGCCAATCAACATCAATAAAGTGAGCTGTGACAACCATATAATTATCTTTTGAAGAGATGTCCATGTGTCGGTGGTAATAGACACTTTATGTGATGGGTGACTTAACACACTCTTGAGTTTACCCTTCTCTAATTGAAAAAGATTCCACACATCTCTAGCAATTGTCCTATGAGATGGTGGATCAAACTATGGTTGGACTTCTTGCATTAAATCTCTAAACCCCACATTCTCTACATGGCTAAATGGAAGCTCATCACGAATAATCATCTGGGCACATGCAAGTCTAGATCTCTCCTTACTAAAGGACCAACTCACTATACTACCCTTATCCTCCTTGACAAACGATAAGAGTTTTTGACTTTTGACATCTCTAAGTGGAGATGTCCTACATTTAGTCTTTAAATGATACCATAAGGAAGAAGTACCATTACGGGAGTCACATCCGTAATCTTGCTCACAATACTTACATATGCACCTAGGTTCATCATCATTTGTACCTTCTTCCTTCTTTAACTTATCAAAATGTTCCCACACATTAGACCGAGCTGCAGCTTTTCTTTTTAAGTTATTCAGTGGTGGAAGTAGGAGATTGGCATTTGTTGAAATATCCACAGTTTGTGCAGAGGTTGGTGTAGGAGTTGAACTTGCGTTTGACATAGGACTAGTAGATGAACTGAAGGTTTTTGCAATTGAAACACAAATTAATTAAATTAAACAAAAAGACTTGAGTGATATTACATATAGCTCTCTACAATTGAAACTAAAGAGTAAAGCTAAATGATTCATTCCTTACAATATTTAAATACTAAGATTCCTTGTGCACATTTGAAGAGACAACATCTATTCCAATTCATATAGCTTTAATCATGCTGTATTTTCCAGTTTTGTACCAAAAAGGAAAGACGAAAAGTTACAGGTCCCTCTGCAACTTCTCATCTCCTTTTCGTTTTTCTCAATTTTTTTTTCCTGCTGTTTTTTATAATGTTTCTCAATTTTTCTCCATTTGATATTTATAATGTTTCTACAAGCTGTTTTTTAAAGAAGAAGATTTTTATTTATTTATTTTGCTACACCATCAAGCGATACATGTCCGTTTTTTAAATTATGATTTTTTTGTAATATTTTGTTATTAATACTTGCACAAACCCCAAGTAGCCCTGCAAATCCCAAGTGACAGCTCCATGATAATGATGGAGACAAATCCTTGCAAATCCGCCAATCTCTCAAAAATTACTGGTGACAGCTGTCATGGAGAGTCATGGAGATGTTGGTGAACGTGTTTGTTCAAAAAATTCATGTCATACTTTGCTTCGTCCATAAAAGGAAATGAGGGGAAAACACAAAATCACAACTTAGAAAAAAAAAAACTAGCTCGCCAATTTTCTTCCTTCCCATTTCTCTTGATCTAAACCTATCTCCTCAAACTTAGAAATAAAATGGCGTCTTCCTTCCCATTTTCTCTCAATCTAAACCTAGCTCCGCCAACTCAGACATGGGGCAATGGGCTTCACCAGCGTGAATGCCCTACTTTGCTTCCTCACGAGGGCCGGTTACAGTAAACTTCTCATTACTGCTAAAATATGATAACTCTGAGAGAATATTTGTTTGTGGGAATTTTCTGTGTATTCTTCTCCTTGTAGGAGGTCATATTTATAATACAACGAAACCTGAATGGGCAAGTAAATAATAAATTCCTAAATGTATTTACAGTAGGAAATCAGGAATTAAAGTAAATCTATTACAATTATAATATGAATTCTTGGTGTGTAAAGAAAGTAAATCAATAGTCGACAAGTCACGCCAACACTTCCCCTCACGTTGGTGCATAGATGTTGCAAATGCCCAACTGATCCAGTAAATTGTGGAATGCTTCACTGGAAATCACCTTTGTCAAAATATCCACCAATTGATTCTCAAATTTCACAAAAGGAAACTGAAACACTTTAGCCTCAAGCTTCTATTTGATGAAGTGTCGATCCACCTCAACATGTTTAGTATGACATGCTCAACCGGATTCTGTGCAATAACTATAGCAGCCTTGTTGTCACAATAGAGATTCATTGTGGATGAAGGTTTATACCTAAGTTCAGTAAGCAACTTCCTTAACCAAATAAGTTCACAAATCCCTTTAGTCATGCCTCTGAACTCAGCTTCTGCACTAGATAAAGCTACTAATTATGTTCTTGCTCCTGTATGTCACCAAATTATCTCCCACGAATGTGAAGTAACCCGATGTAGATTTTCTATCTGTTACACCACCTGCCCAATCTGCATATGAATAACCATCAATATTCAGATGACCATGCTTTGGGAACATAAGTCTTTTTCTAGGTGTAGACTTCAAATATCTAAGTATCTGAAGAACTGCATTCATGTGGTCTTCACTTGGATAGTGCATAAATTGACTGACAATGCTTACCGCATAAGCAATGTCTAGTAGAGTATGTGACAAATAGATCAATCTTCCCACTAACCTTTGGTATCTTTCTTTGTTAGTTGGAACTTGATCCAGATATTCTCCAAGATGATGATTCTGAACAATAGAAGTGTCTGCAAGTTTGCAATCTAGCATTCCTGTGTCTGTCTACAAGTCCAAGACATATTTCTTTTGAGAGAGAAATATGCCTTGATGCGATCGAGCCACCTCAATTCCCAAGAAATACTTGAGTCCACCTAGATCATTCATTTCAAACACAGTAGCCAAATAGTTTTATAGTTGTGATATTTCCTGTTTATCATTCCCAGTAATAATCATGTCATCAACATAGATTATTAACGATGTTACCCTCCCTTTATGATGTTTCAAGAACAGTATATGATTTGAGTCGCTCTGTTTGAAACCAATTTTCTTCATTGCCATGGTGAACCGTCCAAACCATGCACATGGTAATTGTTTCAATCCATATAATGCTTTTCGTAACCTGCATATTGTGAGTAGTATTATATCTTGGAGGAATGTCCATGTACACCTCCTCTGTGAGTTTGCCATGTAGAAAAGCATTCTTTACATCAAACTAGTGTAGTGGCCAATCCAAATTAGCTGCAAGGGACAATAGGACTCTGATGGTGTTCAACTTTGCAACTGGTGCAAAGGTTTCTTCATAGTCTATACCATAGGTCTATGTGTACCTTTTTGCCACAAGTCTTGCCTTGTATCGCTTGATAGATCCATCTGCATTGTGTTTTATAGTAAACACCCATCTACATCTTACAGTTTTTTTTCCTCGTCATATAGTCTCCAATGTCCAAGTCTGATTTTTCTCAAGAGCTTTCATATCCTCTTTTATAGCTTAGACCCACTTAGGACCTTTCAATGCTTCAGAAACCTTGGTTGGAATATGGATAGCAGATAACTGATGCACAAAAGCCTTGAGTGGTTCAGATAGCTTCTTAGTGGATACATGATTTGCAATTGGATACTTGGATGTCTTGCCAATATTAGGTAAATAATGATTTGGTGGCTTCCAACAATTTTGCCTGAAAGGTAATTGATATCCAATAGATTTATCCTCTAAATGCACAAGTTTAGTAGGAGTAATTACCTCAAAAATATTCTCAGGAGATTGGTCCGTTGGTACTATTGAGTGAGAAGGGGGTCTTCATCTTGTTATTCTGAGTTGTCTATAGGAGTATGACTTGAATCAAAATAGATTCGCAAGGGTTAAGCGATTGATCGTTATTTGGCAGAGAATATTCGCGCGTGCCAGACTCTGGACGATTGATTTTTATTATTTCTTGGCTAAGAGCAATCTTTCTGCAGAGATTTTGAGGAGTAGAATTGGATGCTGGGTCATAGAAGAACATCTTTGATTCCAGAAAGGTGACATTCAAAGTGACATAAGTTCGCCAGGTAGAAGGGTGATAACATCGATAGCTTTTCTGATGTGTGGCATAACCCAAAAAAATAAAACAAAGCGCACATGGATCAAGTTTGCTTCGCTTATTTTTGTGAAGATGAATGAAGGCCATACAACCAAAAATACGATGGGTAAGCACCAAAACAGAGGGCAAAGGATAGTGTTGTGTGAGCATTTGTAATGGAGAATTTGAAATTCAAGACCCCAGAAGGCATGCGATTGATAAGGTAGATAGCAATGACGACAACATCATCCGAGTGATGACAAGGAACATGGCCACCAATGAGAAGAGCACGGGCTATTTCAAGGAGATGACGATTCTTCCGTTTGACAACACCATTTTGTTGTGGTGTCTGGGGGCAAGTTGTCTCATGAATAATGCCATGTGTCTGGAAGTAAGTCTGAAAGTCATAACCAACAAATTTCTCCACCATTGTCAGAGCGAAGAATTTGTATTCGAGCATTAAACTGTGTTTCCATCAGTATGTGAAAGAATTGGAACAAGGAAAACACTTCATTCTTATTTTTCATCAAATAAAGTCATGTCATCTGTGTACAATCATCTACGAATGTGACAAACCAACAAATACCGGAATAACTCTTGGCTAAAATGCAAGTGTCACATTTAAAATTTAAGTCCTTAAATATAGAAAATAACTCGGGCAATAAAATTTGAGCCTTATAACCAAAAGATGGATGCCCCAAATGTCAGTGCCAGAGCTAAATGTGTCAGTGCTTGTCATCAGACGGATGCATCACACTGTTGGCACATCCCATACTGAAGTCACCCACATAGTACAACCCCCTTATTTTAGTACCACGCCTAATCATCTCATTGGTAAGAATATCCTGTCGTAAACAAAAATTTGGATAAATTAGTGCACAACAATTTAGTTGCTCAGTTGCATGGCTCACAGACATTAATTTATTGGACAAAGAGGGAATGCGTAGAGTATTGGAAAGGGACATAGAAGGTGAAAGGATGACAGTGCCGGCTCCTGTCACATGATAGGTAACTCCATTCGCATTGGCAATACTTGTGCGGCGGGGTGTAGTGGTGTGCAAAAAATCATTTGGATCAAAGGTCATATGATCAGTGGCGCTAGAATCAATTATCCAACCAGTAGTATCTTGTAGATTAGAAGTATGAAATACATAACTGCAGTTACTTGAGTCATCTGGAGGCGGGGGACTATCAGTGGGGTCTATTTACAGAAACAAGGCTGATTGGGGTTCGATAGAGACAACAGCAGCATGGCCAGAACTACTAGCAGTTTCTCTGAGCTTGTGAGTGCGGAGGTCCTCCCACCAATCATGATAACTAGCTTAAAACTAGACCTGGCATTCGTGTCGTGTTATCAGTGTTCGTGTCAACCCGTTTTTCTTAACGGGTTGACATGACACGACACAATAACAAAATGAGTAAAAAATATCAAACACGAACACGACCTGGTACAATTCGCAAATCACATGACACGACCCGTTTCACCCGTTAAGAAAATAAACTTTTTTAATAAAAATTTTAAAAACCTATATTTTTGAACAAAATTTAAATGCAAATAGTACATACCCAAAAAAATCAATATCATTCCAACAAAAGCTAAAATTCTTGAATTTAATTCAAACTTCAACATCCTTGATCATGATCCATGATAACAAAAGGAAAAGGCAAAACAAATATAAAGTGACATCCATGAAGATCCACATAAAAAAAAAAATTCCATGAAGATGATCCAAACTTCAACATTTCACCAATTGCAATTTTCCTGGAAAAAAAAATGATAGACAACTATGAGAAAAGTATACAATTATTGAGAAATATTACATTGATAAAATATCAATTACTCATCAATACCTCTCATCAATCTTCAAGAGAAATACTATTGGAGCTTTGTCCTGATCTAGTATCTTGACAAGTAAGTTCAAAGAGATCTTCAATAAGGCTTTCCACAGTAGCACTCTCTTCCTCCATAGCTAAGCATTGAAAATCCAAAAGTTACAGAACATTCACATAATGAAAAAAACAGAAAATAAAACACTTTTTTTAAGTTATATAAAATTTACCTCCTTTGCCAAAAGCCAATCTCAAGTGCACAACAAAGCTTGAACAATTTCAGACAATAATGTACTACGGTATTGATCTAGTACTCTACCACCAATACTAAAAGCGGATTCCGATGCAACTGTAGAAATAGGAATTGTTAACACATCATGAGCTAGATTTGAAAGTATATCGGATAATAAAAATGCTCCATTTGCGACCAAGAAAGAACATCTATGTCTTGCTTTCTATCTAGTCTTTCCTCATCCAAATACTTGTTCAATTCATTTTCCTACTTGTACTTGGACCATTTTTGTAACTATTATCAAAATCCTACATCATACAAAATGAAACATGCAAATATTAGAATTATGCATCATTGTAATATATAATATGGAACAATAAATATAAAACAGAAAATAAGTTTAGGTTACCTCAAAAATGGTGTCTCCATCTTCCGTATGACTAGCTATCTCATTCATTCCATAATTCGAAGTAACAAGATGAGATAAACTTTCCAAGTACATATAAAAAAGAGATGTCAATGTGTCTCTAACATACTTGAACTCTTCAAAATCCTTACCATGAAGATTGGTATAAGCCCACTCTACAAAATGGAACTACGAGTATCCAAAATAATTGCAATTGCAAGAATTAAACTACACTCTGACCAATACTTCTCAAACTTCATGTTCATATTAGTTCCCATCTTGTTCATGAAACCATCATTATCTTCCATGGCTGCCTTGATTTGGTGTTGTATTATGAACACCTTAGGGAAGAATAAATTTGATGTGGGTTACTTTGTCCCAAAAAATAAGCATGTAACATCATAAAAGTACCCCAAAAACTTGGAAATCTTCTCTACTTTAATCCACTCTTGAGGAGAAGGACAACTACTAAAATTGGAATCAATCAATCCTAAATTAATAAAAGCACGACGATAGAAAAGTGCACTCTCAAGCATGATATAAATTGAGTTCCATCTAGTAGGGACATCTTGTCTCAATCCTTTCTTACTACCCATTATCCCACTTGTGCAACACATTCATAGAACTTTTGTTTCCTCCCCTCAGAACCATTTATATATTTGATGCACTCACAAATCTTTATCACTGACAAATCAATTTCCATAAGTCCATCTTGGACTATCAAGTTTAAAATGTGAGCACAACAACGCACATGAAAAAACTTGCCACTCATCAACAAAAGACCTCTAAAGTTCAATTGATTTGTCAAAATCTCAACAAAAGAAGTATTTGCAAAAGCATTATCCAAAGTAATAGATAACAACTTCTTCTCAATCCCCTACTCAGTTATTAATGTATTGATTTTTTCAGATAATACAACCCCAGAATGTGGAGGAGGCATATGAAAAAAATTTATAATTCTTTTGTGCAATCTCCAATCTTGGTCAAGAAAGTGAGCAATAAGAGCAAGATACCCATCAGTACATACAGAGGTCCATAAATTTGAAGTTAAACAAATTCTTCCCTGAATTGAGCTTAACAAACTATGAAGCTTTTGTCTTTCACTTTTAAACATCCTCAACATACATGCCTTAACAGTATTTCTACATGGCAGCTTAATATCAGGAGAGACATATGCAAACAAATCCCTAATTCTCTCATATTCAATCAACTAAAAGGCAAATTATGCTTGATGATCACCTCTATTAACAAGTCATGAAATTTCACATAATCAAATTGTGGGGAACACAATCCTGAAGATGACATAAGTAATTGCTTCACATCACCATGAGGCTTCTTACTGCAATTTTTAGCATGATTCAACAAATTTCCCGTCCCATACCTACTATCACAGACATATACAATCCCACAATGTTTAGATTTAGCACGCTTTTTGTTATCTTCATCAACGGGCAGTAAATCAAATGATTCCCAAGCAGGAGATCTTAGTCTATGCTTACCCACTTTGGCTCTATCCTTTTTCTTTGTAGGGCTTAACTCTTTCTCTTCAGTATTTTCAGTACTTGCTGCATCAATACCCATTGAAACGTCAACTAATTCCTCATCATTAATATCAATAGCAATGGCATTGGTAGGGCTATTTTCTGTAACATCCATCTTCTTCAAAAATAAAAATAAAGAGATATAGATATTATTACACACAACAGTAGAACCAACACAACTAATATGAGAACCAATAGCAAGTAGTATAAGAATTCCAAACACACAGAAATATCAATAAAATGCAAAAATAAAATAGCCAAGATAAATTTTTGGTCTTTTGAAAAAAAAAAAACAAACGAACCAATATCAATATTCAAAGCCTGTAAATAATGTAACAGACCTTACTTTAATCTTAAACCTATCAAATATACCTTAGTTTAATCTAACAGACTCAGTTTATGCTAAATGTCTAATAATCATATATTATGATAAGTTGAATGGTCTAGGTTGAAATTGAATATTAAATTTTGTAACATGTGGTATCTGATAGAGATTGTTTGGTTCAAATCCCATGTTTTCGACAGCTAGCCCCTCATGCATGGATACCCAAAAGTGAAGAAGTTAGATCTTCTCTCACAAGGACAAAAGTCTACCCTTAAGCATTTATTTTTTTTTTTTTTTTTTTTTTTTTTTTTTTTTTTTCAATTGCTTTCTTGAAGAAAATTCCAAATTAAATTTAAACAAAAATACCAACAAAAAACATACCTTGAGAGAGGATTTGGCAGGAGAAGATCTTCAAAGACAGAGAGAGGATAGATCGCAAGAAGAATGAGAAGATAAGGACTTGAGAGATAGGGAGAGAAAGCTACAGAGAGGAGAGGAGGAGACGCTCAGACTACTCAGCCAATGTAGAATGAAGAGATGCTAGGGTTATGAGGGATTTTTTTTTAGAATTTCAAATTACAAAATTACCCCCACTTAACGGGTTGGTTCCTATATTTGCGAATGAGCACCCAAACGACCCGTTAGCTTAAAGGGTGGCTAACGGGTCAACACGATAAGAACACGACACAATAACTCATACCCGAATACTAAATTTTTCGTGTGAATTCATGTCATGTTAATGGGTCATGTACAATATTGCTAGGTCTACTTAAAAAAGGTGCCACGGGTACATTTGGGATTGCCACATTGCGTGTGTTGAGGCCCAAAAAATCCACAGTTGGGCCCGAATAAATTCTCGGGCCATCGCAATGTCTTATAAAGAAAAGAACCTATTTAGAGCACGCGAAAGTTCATCATTCACGCTCGCACGAGTCATGATCCATGTGTCGTGCCAAATAAATATGCAATATGTCACACTAAGAGTTGAAATAAGGCTTTACAAGCCCATGCTAATTATCCCGTCAAGCATCATATCCCTTTTTAAAGGCGACAAAATTCAAGCACGCCAAGCGATATGCAATGCCAAGCGAAAAATCATTATTATTACACCTAGTCACGCTACAAGCTTAAGTGGGCCCAAGCCACTTAAATGCCTGGGGCTTGTTGGAAACTTGAAACATAGCATTGTTGCATACTTTTTGTCAGAACTTTTGATGTAGAATGCTTGAGATATTAAGCTTCGGCCTATTTTGTACGCTTTCTTTGGTTGGACATAATGAAATGAATGAATTGTTGAGGATTGGAATGCATTGAGATAATGATTTCTAGCTTGTTCTATACACTTTCCTTGGTTGAAATGCATGAGTTGCTTGAGATTTAATAGGTTGGGTTGTGGTAGGTGCAAGGTACATGCTGCCAATTTTTTTTACAGGATCACAAAAGTGTTTGCCCCATTGCCTCAACGTTTTTTTTTTTCTCCACAAAGCCTTCCTTATGTGATCTGATTTTTTTCTTTTCACAGCACCCCAACACCTACACTCTCTTCAAATATTTCCTTGAATGATTTTCCTTGATAGCATGACCTTCCCTTTTTTTTCATTTCAAGATTGACACATGATATTGCTTGTGCATGGTCCTTGTTAACAGCTTGGGGTCCCATCTATGCTTGGCTTTGCTTAGGTATAGTTACTATTTTTTTTTTTTTTTGGCTTAAAAAATACTTTTAAGTTGTTTGTTGGTCTATTTTTTTTTTTTTTTTTTTTTTTTTCAAAGAACATGTTTTGCAAAACAGAAGAAGGTAAAAATTAAGGAAAGAATTCTAGAGGTTTTTTTCTTTTTCCAAAATACTCCATTCTCATTGCAAATATCATCTTACACCTTGGCATGCTATAATAGTGGTGCATTCTACAAAAGTTGTGAAAGCATATGGTGAAAACACTGAAGGAGTTCATCTTTGAAATAAATTTGAAATGACAAAAACAAAAGGATAGGTGCAAAAGCAACTAAGCAGTAGTAAGGCTTTGAGCCACTTTGCACCGATGAATACTCCAATCAAATCAAGGCCCCAAGTATGAAAGGGCCAAGGAGTGTGCATGACTTGCAATAGCATGAAAGCTTGTGGCTGAGGTTGGCATGTATTTGACATGTGTTGTACTTGGCTGCCATGCTCTGTAGTGATATTTACAGAGCCACAGGTGCTGCTTTACTTGCATGCGGCTCATAACCCGACTAATCAAAGATTGATTTGCGGCTCTTATGAGAGGTTACTGCAACTATCTCTTGATAATCTTGCTGACCAAATGAAGCCCCCAAGTGGTGTTCTTCCTCTTCGCTCTTCCAAGCTTCCTAACTAAAATGCTTATTTTCCTCACTGATTCCAGCAGTTGAGAAAATTGGCGATACCAATATTCTCCAGATAGACTCTGTAATCTACCACAATGTTGCTGATGCAAATTTCAACAAGCGCCTCTTCGTCCTTTTCGTCATAACAATCCAGGGCCAAGTTCTGGAACCTGCGCACGAAGTCCGCGGGATCCTCCTTACGCTTTTGACAAGTGTTGTTGAGTTGAGTGGTGGTAACTCTTTCTTCATGCTGGAAATACTTCTTACAGAACCTGCATGCCAAATCTTCCCAAGAGCGAACGGAGCCTGGTGCTAATGTCGTGTACCATGTATAAGCACGATCGGTAAGACTTTTTGAAAACTCTCAAAGTTGGAGATTATAATCACCAGCATATGGTCCCAAAGCATCAATGAAACGGTTGACATGCTTCTTCGGGCTTCCTTTCCTTTTGTCGAAAAGAATGAAGCTTGGTGCCTCATAGCCTTTAGGATACGGCTGCTGGAGTAAGCTTGATGGATATGGTGGCTGAGGAACATACTTCCAATCCTTTTGGCTTCGACTCTGCTCTTCTCTAGCATGGCAATGACATCTTCTTGGGTGACAAAAGGTGGCCCCTTTTGTTCAGAACCCTTTCCGGCAGCAGCAGATTCCTCTTGGGGCGGTCTTTCGTTTTCTTCGTTTGGCTTGGAGATTGAACTTCTTAGCTCTTTGATTGTGTCCACCATCTCCCTTTGGGTTTCCACCGTAGCATGGATAGCTGCAACAAGGTCTATGAGGGTGAAAGCTCCCTCACTTGCATGTTCTTCTTTTCTATGTGAGGTATTTTCCCTTGACTTCGAGTCATCATGGTCCAGCTCGTCTTAGGAAGACATGGTTTTGCTTCTAGTCCTCTTCTTTGGAGGCATCGGTGAATATAATGGCCTAATCCCCAACAGAGCCCAATTTATATAAGGGCTTTTTCTTCCTGCAGCCGTAAATGGGCTGGGCTGCCATAAAGAGCAAATGAATGAAATTATCCCCTGTGTCTGAGTTCGAAGATCAAGCCCCAAAAATGCTTCGAAATGACATAGATGCCTTACAAAACACCTTGGTTACCTTCACCAACAAAAATAATGGCTGCTTACAGATGAATTCTTAGTGCTTACAGGTAGAATCTTAGCTTGGCATGAGAGGCTTGTGTTATGGGAGCAAAGTTGTCATGAGTTTAGCCTCAAAGGGAAAGAGCTATGATTTATTTTATTTTATGAAAATAGGGGTTCTAAGGAAAGGATTATCAGAGGTTTTGGATGAGAAGAAGAGAGAGGCTAGGCAATGGGTGTCTTAAGCATTTTTTCGGTAGCTCAACAGAGGTTCTGTCACATATCAGTATGATCTGCCAAGAGAAAAACAAGGAGAAGAAGGATGAACTGAGCACGAAATCGCTGGGTTTTGGAGGTAAGAAAGGAAGCTTTGCTATCTGGATTTGGTTGTTGCTTGTTGTGTAGAAGAGGCCTCTTTTATAGCCGCTGGAAGCTATCCATTTCCAAGAAACCCTAATGGTTTTTATCCAATTTGGCCAAATCTTTTCCTTTCTTTCTCCTCTCCTCCCTTGACTTTTTCCATCTTGGTGAAATTTCCTCTGCCTATTTGTATAAAATCATGGATTTTCCGCAGCTACGAAAGTGAAGAACTCCTATTCTCAGCCATCCCTTGTCCTTTCTTTCCTTCCCTCTTTCATGGCCAGATCTGATAAAGGAAAGAAATGGGTATACATGCTGGTTCGAAGGGTGGCTCCCTTCCTAGCAAGCTGCGCGCCCATATCTTTTGGTCCCTTGGAAGTTTTTGCTTGAAAACTTGTTCCTTCCCTCCCAGCAGCCCTGTGCACGTGGTCTTCCAAGCTCCTTTTATGGCTTTTGTTTTTTCAGCAAGGTGCTGAGGCTTTTGCAAGTTCTTATTTTAATTATATGGGCCTTCTAGGATAATGGGTTGGTTTGTCAAATAAAATAGGCTAACCTCAACAAGTGTTGGCCTATTTTTGTTGCGTGCAACCACTTTCATCAGTCGGAGCCTTGGAATGGGAAGGTGGGATGGTTTTAAGAGGTGGCGCACCAGCAACAGTAGCATATGACTGGATCTAAAGATGGGCCGTAGTAAAGGAATTTTGGGGTTGTTCGACACGAGTAGGGGCCTGATTGAGGAGCACTCTTGGTCGCTAAGCCAACGCCAGTGGGTGCGAATGAACCCATCATCACAACTTGTCGAACATCTTCACAGTGGACATAGGCATAAGCTTAGGCCACTACAGGGAACTAAGTCATGTGAAGAACATCACTTCGGGCCTTATCAAGACGATCATCAAGGCCATCCAAAAATATGTAAACTTGATCTTCCTGTAGAATATCATTATAGCGCTTGATATCACTTTCATACTCCATCATATTTGGACGACGGAAATCAATCTCTCTCCATAAGCTTTGGAGAGTATTGTAATAGGTTTCAGTGGAGTCGCCAGCTTGTTGCATACGGGAGACTCGTCATTCAAATCATAAACCTGAGAGGTGTCAGTGTCATCATATTAAGTCGTGTCAATTGCATCCCACACTACTTTTGCTGTCAAAAAATGAATGAAATTGCCAATCAAACTTTGCTCCAGAGAGTTGATGAGCCATCCCTTCACAATAGAGTTCTAGGTGCGCCAATGTGGAAACATTGAAGCTGTCGAAGGAGGTTGTGGAAGATTGCCATTAATATATCCCAATTTATCTTTTCCGAAGATATACAACTTGACAACTTGGGACCATAGGGCATAGTTGGTGCCATCCAAGTTTATGCCAATCTATGTAGGGGAAGCTTCATAGGTAATCGTCGTCGAAATCTTCGTCTGATTCGAGTTCAGGGTCGTCGTTTGAGTCAAGGTTGGGGTTGATCTTGATTTAGGATCGGGTTCGAGGTCTGAGTCTGTATCTTCATTAGTTAAGCCACCTGAGTACTCAACTCGGCTATGGTTGGTTGAGAAGGAAAGGAGGAAGTAGTGGTCCTACCGCCATGAGGATTAGAATAGTCATCCTCCCCCATGGTGGCAACTAGGGTTTAGAAATTAGAGTCAGCAATCCCAAGATCGCCGCTCTGATACCATGCTAAATATGAGAATTATGAGAGAATATTTGTTTATGGGAATTTTCTGTGTATTCTTCTCCTTTGTAGGAGGTTATATTTATAATACAACGAAACATGAATGAGCAAATAAATAATAAATTCCTAAATCTATTTACAGTAGGAAATCAGGAATTAAAATAAATTAATTACAAGTATAATAAGAATTCTTGGTGTGTAAAGAAAGTAAGTCAATGGTCCACAAGTCACGCCAACAATTACTCCTTGACAACGATGTTGCCATTGGAGTTGCGAGGATTTTAGTGACTCCTGGGGATGTGTGCATGCTGGGAACAAGGGATGATAACCGAGTAGTGAGTGATGCCATGACATTGAGCATGCAAAGTGCGGCATCTGTCTGGGAACAAGGGATGACAACCGAGTAGTGAGCGATGCCATGACATTGAGCTTGCAAAGTGCGGCATCTGTCACAAGTGTGTGGCATTGCCTAATTGTGAAATCCCATGAAGTAAAAGTGTTAAGAGCTCAATTGGTGGTAGAACAGAATTTGGTTGAAGATTGTTAGAGCATTATCCTAAACTTGAAAAGGGAGAGGGCAAAGATGTTGGAGGAGACGCGTCGCTAGCTTGAAATATTGCATGAAGAGAATAAAAAACTATCGAAGATGGTAAATTTTTACTCTAAAGACATGCAAGAGCAATTGGAGGCTTTGGAGAACCCAGGGAAGCGCAAGCGAGGAGATCATGAGAAGAGTTTTAAGAAACCGAAGAGGGTGATCTTTAGAAGCTCAAGTGATGAGTCCCAAAAAGTGGTGCGTGAAAACCCAAGAGAGGAGGTCTAGAGGGCCAAACTAAAGTCTCATGTTGTAAAAACAGGAAGTGTGTAATGATGATGTTGTTCTTGTTTTTATATGTTTTTCTAAATTTAATTTTTAGTGATGCAGTACCTTTTTTATTTATTTTTAAGTGAAATAAAAATTTTAATTAATCAAGGGTCATTGAAGTTTATGGTTCTTTGTACATACTGAGGTTGTTTTATTAGTTGCTACCACTTTTTATTAAACAAGTTATTAACCAGGTAATCTGTTTAATAATATGTTTAAGACGACCCGAACCCAACACGACATGTTTATTAAATAGGTAGGGGTTCGAGTTGAGCATTCGTTACACGTTCATTATCCCGACACGACACGACACGAACCCGACATGACACAAACCCGACATGACACGACTTATTGCTAGCCATACATACAATAACCATTTTGCCTTAATTTGATGGAAAATTGAATATATTATGATCGCAAGGCCAACTGTGCTAATAAAAGTGGAGTTAAGGAAATGCATGAGCAATTTTTACACTTATAAGATTAAAATGTGAATTGGGCACAAGTTGAAGGACTAAAATGGAACCAAACGATGAAATAAATTCGATATAGAGGGTTTGAACAATTGGACCCCTATAGTCAATGTCGAGTTGAAATATCTGGGATATTTTCTTTTTGGTGATCATCACCCTCCGTTTTAAACACGGATTTTATTTAATGATGCGTGGAAAAAATTGTGAAAATTGGGGCATCAAGTTCCCAATTATAATTTTCACTAAAATAGTTTTTGTTGTGTCATTTACAAAATTCAACATACATAAATCCAAATACTGAAATCTTTAATTGCTTGAAATTGAAATGATGGAAATCCAAATTCCGTCATTTTAGATTCTATGTAATTTTCAATGAGTGCTGCTATTTCCACCCACCTATCCTATTTTCCCACCCACCATATTTTCAAAAGTTTAATGACAAATTTACCCATTTATGAAAAGACTTCTAAAAACTTGGAGAAAATGATTAAAACCCAAAACAATTGTCTCAACCTTAAAATTAAAAAAGGTAAAAAAATCCAAAGCACAAATATCGAACGTCAAATTCCTCGCTTCCCAAGTACATTCGCATCAATTTTGTTTTTTGTTTTAGTCAGAGCCTTGAGCTTCTTATAGAAAAACTGAGAACAGCCAGCAGCTTGTGACTATGGGCGATTCTTCAAATTTCCTATCTCATATTATTGCACCTTCTCTACCATCCTCTATTCCAAGATCTGATTTGTTTTCAACATAAGTTATGTTCATAACTCGTGAAAATGAGAGAATCATATCCTAGCATGAATTCATCCCATTGGCATTTGATTAAAGAATAAAAGTTTCTTCAATTGCCCAATTTTTCCTCATTCATACCAGCCCCAGATTCATTGTTGGAGATATATTCTTTTGTATCGTCAAAATTGTTTTAAAAGAAATATAAATCACTCGTAAATAGTGAGAAGTTCAATTGTTTGTGAAATTAAAGTGCAAGAAAGAGTGAGATTTTGGTGGTTTTCATAGTATTCACAAAGATTCAGACCATTTGTTTTGAAAGTCGGATTCATACTTTTTGTTCTCAGTTTTTAATATGGTTTTCATAGCTCTTGGAAGAAAGATTTGAAAAAACTAAGAACAAATAATCCGAATTCATTGTACAGTGTGAGGCAATTTATTTATTTATTTATATCTAATTGAACTTTTCAGCTATTGGATTAAATTTAAATGACATTACTGGTTAGCAGACCTTTTTAATTTAAAAAGAATTTACTTAAATTAATAATTAAAGGGTGTTTTAAGGATAATAGCGGCTGGAAAGATAAGGTTGCGTTTTTTTAAATTTACACAGTAGGTGGGAAGATATCGTGGTTAAAGAAACAAAACAGTGGGTAAAAATAGAGCACTTCAATTCCTTCTTCCGAACGGTTCAGAAATTCAGACGCTCAACAACAATCAATTTCTTGGCATCCAAACACACAAAATTTACAAAAACAAAGTCCCTCCCAATCCATCCGCGTCTATATCATATACCACCACCAACACCAACAAACTGACGTTGCCTCACACTGAGCCTCAATTTTTAATCAAAGACAGAGAGAGAGGAATTGCGGCAATGTGGGTCTCAAATATCAAGAACTTGAGATGGCCCGCCATAATCTTGGGCATTGCCAATGCCGTGGTTTTCGTTCTCGGCTGCTTCTTTGTCTTCTGGGCTCTTCCTTCCTGTAATCGCCACATCCTCATTCCTCTGATGGTTGTTTCTTTCATGGCAGCCGTCAGAATTGGCATCATGGTTAACACTGGCATCGCCCAAGAAGCCACCGCCATGACCATTCTTGAGCATTCCCCGGCGGTTAGCCCTGCCGCCGTTGACACTGCTTTCCGCCACCAGACACGGGTATTTCACCATTTTTTCCCCTTTGATTGAATGCTTGATTTATTTATTCTTTTTTGGTTGCCGAGAAAATGAGACTAAGGATTTTGAGATGTTGTGCTGATTACTCTTGAAGGGATAGTATACAGTCGGAGATTTGATACATGCTTTGCCACATGCGAATGATTAGAAATATGGTGTTTATTGAGTGATTAAGAATGATTGTTCACTTTGAAGATATGGGGTACGGAAGTTTATTTGCAAGGATTTACGATGTTTAGCTTCTTTGCAAGGGACATAGAAACTTAAGGAGGAGGATAGATACATAAAATATCATTGGCATGCTATTTTCCAAAAGAGAACTAGTCACCTTATCAACTGAGTATTCATTTTTGTCAAATATGGGTCGGACGAAGTTAGTCACTGCATAGCAGGGTTTTACATATATAAATGCCTATTCCTTGTTCTCTATCTAATGAGGATAGAGAGTGTCTCAACAGACTTATGAAGAGGAAGAGTTTTTGGTAGCAATTAATGGAAATAAGGTTCTTGGACCAGATGGTTTCATTATGAAAATCTTACAAACTGGATGGGATGTGAGTTAGGAAGGGTGCTATATCGGATTATTATACTTTTTCTTCACTTGTTTATGTTTAATATATTGACTATGAAGCATTATTATGTCAAGAATAATTTAGTTTCCTATTCACTGGTGGTTACTTATCTAAAAAAGAAAAGAAAACTCTTTATTGGTGGTGGGTGAATGCTGAAGTCAATTCTATTGTATAATGAGTATTTGTGTTGGAGGAAGTGTTCTTCGTGTTCACATCACTGTGTCCAAGCAAGTTCTTATGAATGAACACTCCTTCAAGTACACTTTTTATGGGTTTCTCTTTGTCAAAGAATGGCAATTAAATCAGAATATGTTGGTGGGGGGATTGTAGCTCAAGGCTAGAGTTTGAGTCCTACCTTCTCCTTGTGTCTCCCCTATAACAGAAGAGAAAAAAAGAAGATGGTCCTGTCATGTCACTGAAGATGTGAATAATAGTGACTAGGGGAAGGAGAGAACATTGAGCTGTCACGTAACTATTTAAAAAGTCTCAACAACTTGGATATGCTTTTAACCTTCTTTTTCTGGATCCTCTTTACATGCAATGATATTGACAACCTCTTCTGGAGGCATATTAGCATTTCACAATTTGCAAATTTAAATATGGAGCTGCAAACCAGCTAAAGATAAATTGTAATACAACAAATCTGCTCTATATGTATGATTTGAGTAATTATGGGGGTTGAATTTGTAATAGTGAAACTTTTTTGGGGCCCATTCTGAAGATGTTAAACTTACATCACCTTCTGCCTCCTTGGGAGTGAATTGTATGTGCCATCATATTTTTATTGTGGTACTCCAATATATGAATTGCATTTTACTGTTTCCCTCTCTATGTATGCGGTTTTTTTTCTCAATAAATTTGTAATAAACTTATTGTATCAGAATGCTTATATTTACAGTGAAAAAGTACTTTCTGAATGAACAGGTTAGGTATAAAAAGTGGCTTTGGTGGACTCGATTTGCTACCGTTATTACAGTTCTGCAATTTGCTGGTGCTTCTTACCTTCTATACAATATGGCTAGTTTTATGTCTCACAATGAAACAACAAACCATTGTATTTTAGGTAAGGTGTGTTCCTTCTTTTGTTTATCCATGTTTAAGACATTCCTTTGACTTCTTTTTGTCAAATGACAAGGATTTCCAATTTAAGGAGATACACAAAAAATTAAGAATAATAAATTGGTATAACATAAGCCTTGTGAAGATGTGGTGCCTTTTGCCCAAACAAAATCATACATTATATTGCAGTTTATTTTGCATACAGTTATTATTGACAGAATGAGAATACACCTTAACTATGTGCTCCTAGGCGGTCACTTTTTCTGTGTTTAGCAGATTTCTCCCTAATCAGTAATTTGTCTTTGACCTCAGCTCTTTTTTTACTTTTTGTGAACATCACCTTATTTTCCTAATGGTTGGTTGTATTGATCTGGACATAAACCATTAGTTTTTTTAAATCAGACCTAATACATTGTTGCAGAGTTTATATGCTTAAGAGAGGAAAAAAATTAGTTTAAAGTGAAAATAAAACAGAAATATATTGGTTGTTTGCATCATGGATTTGGGTAAAAATATATAGGGCTATAGAATTAGTTTCTGTATGTTGCAACTGTAATGACGAGGGTGGCTGGCTGTGGTGTAGAGAAAAACACATATATTATTGGTCAGCATCAACAGTATGAGGATATTTTATTAAATAAAATAAATTTATAAGAATACACCTAGTTAGGGAGAACATAATGAATCTTACCCCTCAAAGCACTGTTACATCAAAGCATGTATGAAAAGTTTCTGAAATGACCATAGAAAGCAATTGGGTCCATTCCTGTGATATTCCTCAAAAACCTTCACAAGTTTTTTATACAGAGTATTGGATGCTGATACTCCCACTACACAGATATTCCTCGATGGGTATCTGAAACTCTAAATGCATATTGGTTGTGGCATCTTTGAATTTAGGATACTTCATCAACATGCCATTGTTACAGTCAAGATATATGAAGAAACCATGTAGGAAATTGCAAATCTTTCACTGGATGAACCAGCACTAGAAGCCGTATCTTTTTAAATGCTATGACAATGCGAGCAATGGGAGTGATGACGAAAGAAGTTAAATGAGAGATGGGGTTCTTAATTTTTAAACTTTTCGTGTTTTACTTTGCATGGTATGATGAAAGATGAATACAATGCATGAACTTAGAAAATACACAAAGTCATAAAAGTCTTCGTGCCTTTTACCATATGGGCAATGTTAAAGTGATAGGAATCTGATTTCATGTGGAATATCACAAGTGTGGCAATGCTTGTAATGCAGGGACGGCTTCGAGCAATATTCCATGGAAGAAACATTTAATGGGATTTTTTGTAATCACGGTGTGTTTTGCGGCATTGCTACAGTGTTTTACAGGAACTGATATTTTAAAATGGAGATCATTTTATGCAACCCAAGATGATGCATGGAAGGCTCATTACCGGGAGGTATTTGATCATGGCATTCGTGAGGCTTTGTGCTGTATGGGGCGAGTCAAATACTTGTAGGTCCTGCATTTTGGTTTACGTACAGGATACAGAACACACGGACAGTGACATGCATATCGTTATATATATCTATTTATACTTTTTAATTTTCTGGTCTCATCTTATTTATCCAGGAGTGTATTGGAAGAAGATGAGGTTTTCTCAGTAGCTCGATTACTAGGTGATCTTGTTGCCTATCGTGCAGCCGGCACAGGACATCTGGAACTCATGGCAGGTTTTGTCTGAACTTGTGAAGTTTCATATTGTGAATGACTAAGTTGTTTGTACCTGACATTTTCTAGTTATGCATGCATACATTTTGTGATTTTGTGTCTCCAGTGTTCACACTGCGAGAGTATAATCTAGGGATTATTCTAATGCTTATTTCGTATTAATTTAGCTAAATTTTGAGTTAGAGTTTTCTTGATTTTTGGTGGCTTCCAAGTGCTACCATATACATGCCACTCAATGCACAGAATCAAACAGTGGAACAGATTAAAAGAGAATTTTCAGAACTATAACGTGAGAAATTTTAGAAATCTTTAATCCAAGTCATGAAACCATAAGATTAGGCTAAACACAATTATTTTTCACCTTCGAATTGGGTCCCTCATGCACTGATTGTTTACCTGTTTCTATGGATGGACTGTATATGTATATACATATATTTTGTTAAATGTTTCTATAAAGTATAATAACTACTAACATTTTCTTAAAGTTAAAAGTACCGTGATTTTCATGCTACTTGTCTGTTTTACATGAAGTTTTCTATTTTGGAGAACATTTGCCAAATATCTATTAAACAAGACCAATGATGAATATAATATTGTGCAGAAGAAAAATAATTAATGTATTTGGGAAAGATATACATTATCCTAATGCAACACAATTACTTTTTCACATCAAGATACCTTACCAGAATGTAAAGCGTTTTCTTTTCACATTATGATAATTTTCCTGTCTCATAAATACATTATCCTTGGATTTTTTCCTGTGGGTTAAAAACAAGACAGATCTCTGGAGGGAGAGAGTAATTGGTTTCTGTCATTTTAAGCCAATGCAATTTGATAATGACCTGGAACTAAAAGTCTTGTGGGTTTTGTTTTTACATACAAGTATTACATTACTAGAGGCCTCAAACAACACAGCCAAACGCGTATAGGTCATAAAATTTTAGTTTGATGTAAAAGATTATACATTATGCGGATTGTTAAAAAAGACAGGTCTTTGTTCAGATCTTAAGCTGGGATCAGTCGATAACATAAGCATGATGCATGTTCTGATTTTTAATTGGAACCAATAAACTTTATTAAAAACGGATATAGTACAAACTACAAAGCAATGTGGAAGAGAAGTCCATCAGGAACTGAAAACAAGGACAACAAAGAACCACTAGACCAGCCTAAGGACAGATCAAACTCACACTGTTAGACCAGAAAAATAAAATCAATCCAAAATAATTAAACTAAAAGGAACATCCTTAAACCGTTTAGATGAAGAAGCCCAGAGAGAAGCAAAGATTTAATCATGTCCCACAATGAGTCCACCTTTCCTCTCCATCACAAAATTCCTTCTATTGTTTCACCTGTGGATTTGCACAGTACATACCAATGAGGAGATAATGAAAATATGACCTTTATTTAAGACAGTGAAAATAAATATGTAAATAAATGTAGAATTTTTGACATATTTGGCAACGATGTTGGAGTATATCTATATCTTATATTTCTATTACATCTAATTCATGTTAAGAGGCATATGACTATATTCATGGTCGAAGAGTTAATGGTTAAGGCAAATGTTATAAGTTAACATTGGTGCAATCCTCTGTAGTTATACTTTTAATGTCCGTGCAAGCAACAAGATTGTGCATGTCAAGATACCAACATATGAAAAAAGAGCGTATGGCCCTATCTAGACTACAAGATAAGCCAGTCATGATACTATTGAGTTTATCTACTGGCATCAAGTTGTGCAATGTATAGTGCAACACCCATAATCCAGCAAAAGTTACATTGCACAACAACTGTTAAAGTAGCTAGCAAGCCATTAGAGTAGAGTTTAGAGCAAGCCATTGACTTTCAGTTTTGGCATTTCTCTTTTGTAGTGTTTAGGGAGCCAAAGATAATATTTGGAGTTGCTCAGCTCTTTAATCTGATAGTATAATTAAGGTCTCTGGCTTCATTGGTGTTCTGCAGCTTAATTGCAGCTTTAACACAGTACAGTTGGGAGAGCAGTAAGATGTTTGTTGAACCATTAGTGGCTTTTGTAGGTATCTCATCAGCCTAGTAGAAGATAAAGTAGTTAGACTTGGTTGTCCAGGACTTGCAATAACTCTATCATCAGGCTGTTGTTATCATCAGTATTACCTTATTTACATCATAGTTTCACTTGTTAATGCATCCATAGTGATTTATACCCGAAGTTACTCGTTCCCAGTTTCATCCTTCATGTCTCTTGTTTTGCATGCATGACACTGTGTGTACTATATATTGTCCAGGTCTAGCCCTTTTGCGGAACCAGGGGCAGTCACCAAAATCCTTTGAAGGGTGTATGGAGACACCTGAAGAAAAGATCAGGGAGGCTGCAGATTTTCATAAGTTTGCAGAAGCTGCCTACACGGTATTATGACAAAGTATTTTCTTAAGTACGCATTTCTTTTTCTTTTTTTGAATTTATTATTCACTTTTATATTATAAGCACTGCATCCTACAGGGTCCATTGCTTGATTTTGGAAGAAATCCTTTCTTATTTCCGTGTGTGTGGCTCTATAGGCAAGGGATTTTGACCCCATGGGCTCGTAACAGGTCATTAATCCATCGGGTATCTTACTCATGCACATGTAATAATGTATACTGCATTTTTTGGCTGATATAATTATAGACATTGTTAAACTTGAGTTAATCACAATTTCTTTTCTTTTTTTTAAAAAAATATTTGTTTTTGCAATGTTGTAGACATTTACTGCCATATTTGGTAATTATTTTTCCTCTTCCTTCGTAGGCGACCCGTACTTGATGGTGATAATTGGTTGCGAGGTCATGCAGCAGCTTTTCTAAAATATGTTAAACTATCCCCCGAGGTGCTAGGAAAGGGCGTGTTAACCAGGTGAGTTATCATGATAGCATTGCTTACTCTAATGCCTCACAACACTCCAACAGTCCTCTTCAGTTGTGGGTTCTCTCAAATAGTGTTATTTGAGGGATGGGGCACTCAACCATTGGATCTGTTTTAGTGTTATGTGTGTCTGTGTGTGTGTGTCTGTGTTTTTATTTGATTGATACACTTATACATTGAATCGTTTTAAACCTACATTTTCTTTTTATTATGTCTAGTTATTTCAAATCCTTTAAAATGCATCATATGCAGTGAGTTTTATGGTTCTTCCAAGTTCCAACCAATCCTATGCAGTAACAACTATTTCATACCAATGTGGCCCCATATGCCTCTTGACAGAGACAAAATATCACATGCTAAGGAAACATAGTTCAAAATTATAAAATGCCTAGTCTTTTCTAAAGAAAATATTAATTGTGAGTTCTATGCAAAGGATGTTCCATCATTATGAACTTCATATGAAGGATTGTGGGAGATAGAGCATGCTTATAATCTAAGAATCTTTTATATATATTTTCTGTCTCAGGCAAAGTGTAAAGCTGCATACTTTGTTCTTGTTCTGCATCATCTAAGATCTGTGGTGATTGCTGTTCGGGGAACTGAGACCCCAGAAGATCTAATAACTGACAGTTTATGTAGGGAATGTGCTCTTTCTGTAGAAGACTTGGATGGATTGATAAAGTATGTCTTCCTCTCTCTCTCTCTCTCTCTGTATCTGTATATGTATCTGTGTGGTTGTGTTTATGTGTGTTTGTGGTCTGATAATTTGCTCCTTACTAGAGTCTCAAAACTTTATGATTGACTTTAAACTGTAAACTACAGTGGTGAAAAGTCTGTAGATGAAAAATAAATAAATAAAAGAATAAATAAAGAAAGGAGAAAAATAAAAGATGTAGATGAAACTGATGAAGCAATAACGTTTCCCTGCTTGTGGACCTCTGGTTTTGTCCGTTTATACCACTAACTTGTGTTTACTGCATTTTTCCCGCACCATAGGCACTGTATTGTATTTGGCACTCAGATTTTCATTATTTTTTTGTTTGTTTGCAGTAGCCCTAATATCATCCTGAAGTGAGACAATCCGTGATTTCATCTTTCCCGCACCATGGGCACTCTGGTATTGTTGAGGCTGCGAGGGATCTCTTCATGCAAATTGAAGTTAGTCCTAGAGATGATGGTAAATAGATGACTTTTTTGTTGTCTCTCTCCTTCAAACTCGTTGGTCTCTGTGATGCTGATCCATCCTAACAGATTCCTTTGGAATCTGTTTCGGTATACTCACATCCAACTTCTATTATCCTTTATTGATTTGACATCAATTTACCCCTTTAAGAATGTTGTCTTGGAGTTCTTTATTCTTTTGTCTTACAGCGTAATGTATTTGTGTCTTAAATTAATTACTTGTATGTTTGATAAAATAAAAAAAGTAATGATATTAGTATCAACTGGAGCAGTGGGATAAGAAGTTTCCTGATAGACTTGACCACAATAACCTCTAAACAATTTCATCTCTAATCAGCTTTTATCATAAACTACAGACATTTCAAAATTTGGCAGTAAAATGCGTTTCAAATCTAGGCCCACTTATGACATACTAGAATTTTTTATTGTCACTAGTTATGTAGATTGGATCTTTGTGTGAAAAAAAAAAAAAAAAAAAAAAAAAAAAATAAAATAAAGTTTATCACATATGTATATAAACAGGTAAATGTTCTAGACCATTGGTTAGGTAGACTCTTCCTTGAATCTGTGGTCCACATTCAGTCTGGAAACATAAGCATTTGTCTGGCAATAAAAGTCTGACAAGAGAACTTACCCTATATAAAACCTATGTAACGTTTATTTTAATCTTTCTCCTTGAACTTTTTAGGAACTATGTTCCACCAATGCCAATACAGGATATAGGATACATGATAAAGACACTGTAGCATACAATGATACAATAACTCTCCACAAACTTGGATATGAAATAAAATGTTATAAATTTTTTATTTCAAGAAGGTGCAAGAGTGGACATTCTTAGACTTTGACAAGTGCGGATTTCCACTATCCTGGACACGTCCCACTGCAGTTCAATGATTGAAACCATCCATCTAGGTCTGTGCTAAAGGATTATCCATGCAAAAGAATTAGTCAAAAACCGTTTGATCATCAATAGTATGCAGACAAATACAGTTTTGTGGGATAAAATATTATTGATGATGATGGCAATCAAATAGCTACGTGATTTTTTATTTGACTGATCTTTTGCAGAAATGATCCATAAAAGATGACCTAGAACATAGATGATTCCGATCATTGGACTGCAGATAGGATGTTGGACAGCTGCAGTTTTCATAGTTTGCAGATGTCCACAGTTGATCCTTGGTGTATATTTACATACATTTTTTTTTTTGCTGCCCTTCTCTTCTTCTCTGGGATGCAACCACAAAAATCCGAGCTCCTCAGTTACTATTTGTTGCAGCAAGTAAAGAAGAGCTTTTACTTTCCAACTCTTCTTCTTCTATTTGTGTTTTTTATTTATTTTCATATTGACCTTTATATTCTAAAAATCACAAACAGTTCTGGTATTCTTAAAGCATTTACAAAATAACCCATTTCCACAGTCTCAGTCACATGTCCTTGCCGTCTCTGAAAGTCAGTTTCCTAAAAGTGGACTGATACTTATTTGAACAATCGAATACATATCCATATCTTAAGTGTTCAAAGAATATGTGCTTCATTGTTCAGGAGTTTCTGTAAATTGAATTAGGGCAAAAGATACACTCACTTACCACCAAAATGTTGGAGTTGCAGGATCTGGTTCAAATGGCCTTCTTTCTTCTTTGCTGGGAGTTGGATGCGAGTGTGAGGGGTATAGCATTCGCATAGTGGGGCATTCCCTAGGAGGTGCGATTGCCACATTGATTGGACTCAGAGTATGGAATTTTCTTAATTGAAAGTGAATTGTTTTTTTTTTTTTTTTTTTTTTTGCTTGTTGATATACTTTCTAGTTCATGGTTGAAGGATTTGAAAATACATGTACGTAAGCTGTAAGTACAAGTGCTGGCATGTAATCATGTTTTTCTTGTGAATTTCACTTGCAGACAGAATTTGCAATTAGTAATCAATATATTTTATGCACTTCCAGCTCTCATCTAGGAAATTTGGTTTTATTGAGTTGTATTAACTTGTGATTTTTTGCCTTGGTTCATGATTGCTATATGAGCATCAGTATGTAATGGGTATAAAATTAATAAAAACTTATGAGTAGATTGTAGATTATCTACCATTCTTGTATTCCTTCTGAAAATTCTTCTTTTAATGGAATCTCCTGCTCACTTGAAGTTATGTGGAAATTTACACCTAATTTTGATCAAGGACCCCTTTCCCTCAAGATTGATGGAAGCTCACATAAACTGAGAAAAATACACAAGCTGATGCAATTAGAGTATCTATACCAATCATTTTTGTTTTGCTTGTTAATTTTCAATTTTATCCATTTTGATTTTGATGAAGGTACTTTCTTCATTTTTATTCTCTATATATTTGTGTGTAGCTATACCACCGATACCCAAATTTGCATGTCTATACATATGGGGCCCTTCCATGTGTGGACTCGGTTGTAGCAAATGCATGTTCTGAATTTGTTACAAGGTAATTGTGCTTGTCACTCACGCTACTGATAGTTTAGAAAGAAGAAAAACAAAAACTGTAACTTGTTTTCATATTTTTATCTTTTTTACTATGTACATCTGAAGTGCTTGACCTCTCCGCAGCATTGTATACAACAATGAATTCTCCTCACGCCTATCAGTTGGATCAATCATGCGGCTTCGAGCAGCTGCAATTACAGCAATGTCACAAGATTCAGAAACTGATACAGCTATGATACTAAGGCTTGCACGCCATTTTCTCCATGTAAGCAAGTACCAGCAAAATGGGACCAAGGTAAAGGATTCAGCTTCAGATATCACTTCTAGGGCAATCACAGATGAAAAACTGAACCACCACATCTATGAGAGTCAGTATCAGGTTAATATTAAAGGTAGCCACTTTTTTAGTTTCCTGAAGTTAAATGTTTGCTGAAAACGCCCATCATGACTTCTACTATCATATCATCATGGGTGTGTGAGGGTTGCGACACAGTGGCCAAAGGATCTTCACAGATATTCCTTTTCTATTGCAGTGTGCAATGATGAGGATCAAGATTTAATCTCGTGGGATGATGCTGACATGGAGGACAGAGTTATTCAAAGTGATCATGATGAATTCACCAACCCCTTTTCCAATGATGTCATTTCAAATCATGACCCTGTGTCTCAATTTATGGAAAGTGTCCCAAGATCGGAAAGTTTGACATCTAGGGATCCCCCAGAGATGTATCTACCAGGGCTTGTGATTCATATAGTACCGCAACCAAGAAGCTTCGATATGTTTCAGTGTAGAGGCAGCGCAGTCCAAGAGAAGACGCAATGTCATAAGGCTTATATTGCAAACAGAGAAAGCTTCAAAGATATTATTGTGTCACCATCAATGTTTCTCGACCATCTTCCTTGGAGGTATCAAAATACAGTTGCCCTTCGATTATTCTTCCTCTTTGACTTCTAATTGGCCAAGAAGTTGTCTTATGTTCTTGTTTGACTCTTTTTTTTAGATGTCACGATGCAATGAAACAGTTATTGCAAGCTCAAAGATCCCAGGTCCAAAGTTTGCAAGTTCGAAGCTCCCAGCTTGTTCCTAATCAACCTGAGAGTATGTGATATATGTGCGCTGAGATTCACATATGGATTCCTGTGTGAAAACTTCGATATATGCTCCCTTTTTTCTGTGGTGGAACTAACGTGGCTATAGCTTGACCACTGTCACAAAGCTGCGTGTGTCATCAGAATTATCTATGTGAACTGGACTGTTCATGACCCATCTCAATGGCACTCGGAAAATAGCATGTTATCCGTTAAGATTTCTTATGCGTGCAATTCTAGCTTCATCTTCAAAATCTTGTGGTGGTATATGATTTCAGATAAATATTTTGCAGTTCGAAGCAGCTTGATTTAAACTTTGGCTGCACAAACTCATTCTTTCCTGGGTCTTTGTCATTAACCTGCTAGTTTAACAGCTTAATGGCACAGGAGGTGTACTGCTTATAAATTGTGATCCCAGAATTTTCAGTTTTGTTACATTAATGATAATGCACTGTTTCATCTCAGCATATGTTTTGCTACTTTTTGTGATGATAGAATATGTCTACAATCTTCTAATAAGTGCACTTTATTACATTGTCATTATTTAATGTGCCAAAAAGAATCTCTAACATCAATTATGGGCTCGTTTGAGTGATTTTAATTGCAGTGTAAGCCAGGAGCATGTGATTATTATCCCCTTGGAAGGAATGAAAGTGTACGTAAAACAGGACGGGATTGAAGCAGGCAGGGGTGTGCTTTGTCATTTGTTAGATATCTCTCACATGCTTTGTCATTTGTCATTTGTAATTTGTAACATCGCCTGTAGTCCTCGTATTATATATGAATTTAGCATTTTCAAGTTTACTACTCGCATTATACACATATATATGTATTTTTCAATAATACATCTGTTTTCTATACACATCTTAAAGACTCAGTAAAATACACGCTTTTAAAAAAGCAAATGTACAATACTCGTATTGTACACGTATGTACGTATTTTCATGTTTAATACACATGTTTTTTACAAAATTTTCAATAACACACAATTCACGTACTATACACATAACATATTATTGAATAAAAATAGAGTGCTGCTATTTCCATGCTATTGTCTTATTTCCCTACCCACCTTATCTTCAAAATTAAAGACAAATTTACCCCATTATAAAATGACTTCTAAGGACTTAGGAAAAAAATATTTAATATGAAGTTAAAAATAATGAACTTAAATGTAAAATGTAAATATTTTTTAAAATAACTTTAACAAGGGGAAAAGCTTTAAAATTGAAAATTCATCTCCAGCTTTTCATAAAAATAAAAAATCATCCCCAGACTTCACCTTCTTCCCTAATCCATCTCCCTCTTTCTCTCTCTTCTCCCATCCCTCTCTTCGAATGAACCCACTCATCCCTATTGGATTTTCTGTTTTGATCAAAGTAGGCTTTCATTAACGAAGAGGACAGATAAAAAAAATTGTAAAACTAAAGTACAAAGAAACTGAAATACAAGAAAACAAATTTGTTACCCGCCATTGGATTTGTGATGCAATGTTTATGGTTTTTAACTCTTCCCAAATTTGAAGTTAGTTTCAATTCCTCAGTTTCTATGTACACAGACAACTCCCAAACTCGTGTTCAGTATTTAAATTCATACATTGATTATGGATGATTTACAAAAACAATGGTGGGATGCACCATAAAGGATATTTTATGAATAATGGTGGGTGGAAAAATAGGATTATGTTTTTGTCAAATTTATATAGTGAGTGGGAAGATAAGGTGGGTGGGAAAATAAGATAGGTGGGTGAAAATAGCAGCACTCTAAAAATAATATATATTTAAAATATTAAATATATTATATTAAAATATTATATAGTAGCCGAACATTTCAGTTGTAATTTGTCAAAATTTTGGAGAATAAAACACGCACTTATTTTATTCATATTTTTCCCATTCCGTATTTTACTAACCATAAAAGAATGTGAAATGCTATGATTACTAATTAATTATTGTAACAAAAATGCAAGATGGTGATTTTGCAATCTCTTTGCCAACCAGAACAACAATTTTAAACAAAGATTTATGGGTATGTTAGTTTGAAAAGTGAAGCTACCAAGAGCACTCAAACTCAGCATGCAATTCTCTAGGACAAATAATGTGTGCAGTAACAGAATTTAGTAGCACTCGAGAAAACGAATTGGATCAAAGGCAAACATTCCCACACAACAACAACACACACAAAAAACAAAAAAAACAAAAAAAAACTCTAATATTGATTTGTTATGAAATTTTTCTCTCTTCAATACATGCTTTGGAGAAATGCAAGGGACGAGGAAGAAGGAGGTGTTAGGGAGGGGGATAGGATTATATATGCCAATTGCCATCATATGATCTCATTCTCACGTTTCTTTTTCAACTCTTGTCTTCGTATGAAATTGTTGGTGGCCATGTCCAATGGCTCCTTCACGACGCTCTCTTCCTCACTCGCCATCTTTTCAGTTTGTGCCTACTCCAAATGGCTTGGTAAAATTTAATGAATCCAAACGACTGTATGTTATGTTTCCTAGTTAGATCGGTGCCCTAAATACTAAGTTATATCAATTTTTGATAAGAGTTTAAATTAGGTTATACCTGGAGGCCCAAAACCTTGTGGAATAAGGAAAAGTTTTGAAGCCTATTAAGGGGTCCTATTTATTTCCTTTTGCATGAACCATTGCTTGGTGGGCTTGAAAGATTAGTCAAGTCGGTATTTAGTGATGAGTAGAGACGACTTGACCTAGCCTATATAAGCTTAAGGCCCTGCTCTCATCAAACACGTTCTCTAATCCTAATCTCATCATAAAGAAAGAGCTGAAACATATTCTGAGAGAGAGTAGAAGTCTTGAGCCATTCATGTTCTCGCTTGGATTGTTGCTGGTGCGGTTGAATGAGTTCAGAGGTCGTGTACTCAAGAAAGATGGTGCCAGGTATGTCCTTATGTATTTCAGATTGTGTGAAAGATCATGAACATGCATATAAAGAATTCTAACATTTCATATCAAAGCACATGGTTATTCACACACACTGAAATCGTTTCTCAAGCATGCCTATTACGATTTCTTATATGTTTATGCCATGATGAGTTTTTGGTTATATTTAAAATTTGAAGACGGATTAAACATGTTTTTTTTCTTCTTCTAAATATCAAGAATATTAAAGAATCTAGAAAAGCATGTTTTAATTTGATTTTTCATATCTTCAAAACTTTAAATACGTTTTTGACCTACCAAATGACCTTGAAACCCTAAAAATGCCCATATGTCACAGCAAAGTGATGAGTTGTGTTAATTGGGTCATTCACTATTGAAAATGTATTTTGCCTCAAAAAACGGACTACAAAAACCCCTAAGACATTGTTCACGGCAAAAATTAGTAGTCATTGCAATTTAGGGTTTTCACTCTTGAACTGTGTTTGTCTGGTTATTTTCTGAGCTTGATAGGTGTTTGTCTTTGTTCTAAGAAACAACAAATTTTTCATAACAAAACCAAACCTAAATACTCAAACCCTAAAGAAATAACCAAAATTGCATCATACCTAAATTACTTGATAAGTTTCTTCAACAAATAGAATCTATCCTATAGTTTGTTTATGATGGCACAAGATAACACGTAATTTGTGTAAGCTATAAGTAATCTCTTGCCACAAAGATGTGATATTTAATTAAGGGAGCTTGCATATGTTATTTGTTAGTTTTGTGAATAAAGTTAAAAGAAAAAACTGTTTTCTCTTAACAAATTGAGAATCGGTTCCTTGGAAAGTAATTATGCTTTCTTTTGCAAATTCTTACAGCTTTGAACACTCCCTTAATCAATTTCTCACAAATTGAAATATTCACTGCATCAAACTTCAAAACATGGACGTTTGATGTTGAAGTTATTCTCAGAATGAATGAGATCATTTATGATCTCACTCATGATTATATTTAATTCAAGCTAGTCATTTCGCTTATGTATCTTGTAGTTCAACTCCTAGAGCTTAGGGAAAAGGAAAAGTATCTGGCAGTTAATAGGAGCCACTCATGTTAACTAATCACGAATAGAATTCTAGTAAAGAATATAGTGGAGTTAATTAAGAAGAGGAACGAAGATGAGCTGGAAAGAAAAATGGTTAAGGCGCAACGACGTCGTCGACCTTATAGAGGACCCATAAGGATATACATGGCTACAAAGGACAATCTAAGAAGTCTCAAGATCACTGTAAAGCTCGATGTATGCGCTTATGGGAGAGGACGAAACATCAATAAGCTACTTCGGTACAAGAATCTCCTAGTGCAGTCTGTGAAACCTACACCCGAACCTGAATCACCTGTTGAGATTTTTGATACCACCACTAATAAGGAGATAGTGATACTTGACCCGTTCCCCGCTAGGGAGAACAACACTTTCATGACAGCACGTTGTGACAAGGAGGATTAGATAGCTACTTGTTGTTTTCATTAAATATTATTGGAGTAGTTGATTTTAAGTTGGATTCAGGATTTATTTTAGAGTTGGATGATGTAGTTTCAATACCCTAAATGAAGAGAAATTTAATTTATGTTTCAAGATTATTAAGACTTGGCTTTATTTTGGATTCAATAAAGATGTTTTTGTATCTTATAATTCAAAGACAATAGATGTGGATTATACTGTCTTAATTACAATATAGATGGTGAAGTTTTAATAGCTTAATCGAGTGAGAAAAAGGATTACAAGGGAAGGAACATCCACTAGGTTATGGCATGGATGTTTAGGGCATATTTCAAAAGAAAGAATGAAAATTCTTGTTAAGGAACAAATCTTGCCATTACTGACTTTCGGTAATGACAAAATTTTTATTGAATGTGTTAAAGGAAAATTCACTAAAACTAAAAAGAAAGGTGCAACTGTGATCTTTTAGAAATCATCCATACAAACATTTGTGGACCATTCCCTCATCAAACAATTGATAGAAATCACTATTTCATCACCTTTATAGATGACCATTCTCATTTTGGTTATCTATATCTCATAGCAAAAATTCTCAAGCTTTTGAAATGTTCAAAAAAATTCAAATTAAAGTAGAAAGATAACTTGAGAAAAAGATCAAAATTGTGAGGTTAGACATGAGGGTGAATATTATGGATGTTTGATGAAGGAGGAAGACGTGCTAGATATTTTTACTAGGTAACTACAAGAAAATGGAATGGTGTATGGGCCTAATTTGGCACACCCAGTCCAAAATCAAAAAGCCCATGTCAAATTTTTGACAGTCACCTGCATTCTCCTTATAATTAGGGCCAAAAATCTGAACACCCAGCCCAGCACTGGAGGCCCAGAAAGATGAGGCGAAATCAGGACCCAAGCAGTTTTGACTAAAATTGGAATCGAGGGCCCAAAGTCAAGAAAGCCCAAGCCCAAGTCAGATTTTTTACCAAAAAGACTCATAAAATTTTGAAGGAAGTGCAGTACATGCGAATTGCTCAGCCCATAGTCCCAAAACTCAAAATTGGACTTGGCATGATTAAATGAAGATAGAGAACAACCCAAAAATGAAGAAACCCAAAAATAGTTTTATCAAATTACCAGCTCTCTACCCAAGACATAAAAGGGGTCAAAATTAACACACTCAGCCTTGGATCACAAAGAAACCCACATGACTATCTGACTTTGAGAAGTCAAAAATTTCAACTAGTCACAGGAGAAGTTGATTGGGAATTAATGAAGGCAGGTTATTACAGAAAGACTTCACTAAAACTCTGCAGCTAAAAGATCATAATCTCTTTCTATATAATTCTGCACCAGAGTATGTGATATTTCCAAGAGATAAGCAAGCTATAATCTCAAAACATAAGTGGGAAGCAAGGGAGTTGTTCAAAAGCAAGCTGACCATCACGTCAGATTGTGTTCTTTCCCTTTACCAAGAACAAACAAAAAACAAAGAAGAGTTGATCTTTCTTTTAGAAAAGCAAGGAAAAGACCCCCATGAAAACTGATTATTGATGATTCTTCTCTACTAGAAACAGATAACTTCCCATTTTTCTTTGACATTTAAAAATGAAAGATCTTGCTTTTTAAAAAATCTGCTACCCATTATTTAAAGATTAGAAAGCTCACTCTAGCATTTCCTATAAATATGAGGGAATGTGAACAAATTTAAGGACAACCAAAAAATCAATCAAAAACATAAACTCAAAATGATCACTTGATCTCAAAAACCTTCAAAACATTGAAGCAACCATTAGCTCATTGAGCCACAAGAAACAAGTCAACTACAAATCAGAATCTCTAACTCCAGTTCAGTTTTAGAGAAATAGTCATACAAAGCAATATTTCTTTCGTTACAAATTTGGTTCAGCATAAGCCAAGTCAAGCAGAGTTCGGGTTTCACAAATATGAAAACCTCAACAAATTTAGGGAGAGCCCTGATCAAGCAGAACAAGTACTACAATGCAGTTCCAACTTAGTAATCATCAAATACAGTCACTTCTGCCCCTTCCAGACTGAAGAGGTCCTAATTCTGCTTGTTCAAAAAGCCTTCCAGGGATTGAAATAGATTAAAGCTCTGCCAAACTCGAACGTTTGCATCGATTTACAGCTAAAACTTGATAGTTGAAGGTGTTGATAGCCCAGTCCATTACAGACATACCCTGTCCAGTCCGGATCAGAAGCATCTATCCAGGCAGAAATAGAAGTCCAGTCCTCTTTTTGTCTTTTTAGAGTTGGTCTTCCCTTTTGAGCATTGTAAAAGGAAGTTCTGTGTAAAATAGTTCACTTTCTTATTACTTATTTTGGCCAGAACTACCAGTTTTATACTGTGAAAAATTGTGAAGTCCTCACCAATCTAAGGCAAGAAAAGAACTTACTTGAGAGATATTTCTCATCCAAATTCACAATCGATTGTTTGGAAATCAGTAACTTGGGGCGCAAGTTATCTATTTTTAAGAAGTCTGTTAGGATTTTCATTGCTAGTAGTGGCACGCTCGCACACAAAATAAAATTGACTTGTTGGCCAGTCAACGGTTTTCAAGGCAATGGGGAACTTTACCCTACCATCATAGGAACAAATATAAAACGAGTGAACAATTTGGCACGCCCATTAGGACCTCTTAGTATACATACTCCTAGAAGAGTCTTCTAAGTATATGAATGTTGGAAGTTCTAGCCGGAATCCACACTGCGCTATGGAAAGAGATCAAGTAACCTTCTGAGAAGGACTGGAGTCATAAGAAAGTGATGCTAGGCAATCAGCCCATGGCAGTACCAGAAGTAGATGTTCCAGGTCTGGTTCCAAAAGGTTAAACCAGATACAGGAGGCTGTGTTCTGGTAGGAGGCCACAGCACAAAGGAGCCAGGATACTCTAAACAACATGACAGCCATGATGCAATGGCAAGTCAACAGGCAGTTTAGGAAAGACTGTGATGCTGCTATTGCCAGAATTCCAAACCCAGATGTTGTGGTCTAGTAGCTAGAGGACCTCCACCAAGACTGGCATGGCCATACCAAGAGAACCCTCTCATTGCACAGATAACTGGAATACCAAGACGTGGAGAAATCCAAGCTGGACAGAGGGGAGAAGCCCTTCCCATCCAAGAACATAAGGCTCCAGTTCAGCCAGAAGGCTCTGCACCAGTTCAAGTCCCCCAAAATTAGCCAGAACCTCCACCTATTCCACAACCAATGGCCCCATGTGATCAGCCTTTGGCACTCCTGCCTAAGCAACCAGCCGTGTTGCCCTACAGACCCAGAACGATGGACCTCAATCCATTTCCCCCACTAGCAAGAGGCAGGAGAGGTAGAGGGTGAATTAACCCTTTTACCAACAATGATTGGAACAGACTGGGGGGAAACTGGAGGAATCATCCAAATTTCGAAGAATAGGAAGAACATAGGGAGGAAGTTATGCCCAGACTATACAGAATGGAGCATAGGATTGAGCAAAACCAACCAGAATAAGGACGAAATCCCCATCCTGTTAATGCTCTACATGACATGGGGGCACTTCAGAGAATGATCAGAGAAATGATGGAACATGAGGCCAGAAGAGGAGAAACGCACACCTACAGAAGGCCATATCTGGCTTATATTGATCAGATACCCCTATCCCCTAAAGTACCAAACTTCACCTTGTTCAACAGAGAAGACACCCATGCTTCATCAGTTGAGCATATAGGCATATTCTCTGTCCAGTGCATAGCCATAGAAAATAACCCTCTGTTAAAACTAAGGCTTTTTGGAAATTCTCTCTCTAGACAAGCCTTCACCTGGTATACTAACTTACCAGCCAATTATATTCAAACCTAGGAACAGATGGAAAATGTCTTCCATGACTACTATTTTAGGATCCAGCCAGAATTCACCATCAGTGATCTTGCTGCCCTCAAATAGAGTGAAGATGAGCCTGCTCATGACTTCATAACCAAGTTCAGAAAGCTCAAAATGAAATTCCGAATCCTTATGGAAGAAAGACACTTCATTCAAATGGCTCAAACCGCCCTTAAAATCTCTTTGAGGAAGAGATTTGATGGGATGCTATTTGGAGATTTGGCAGAACTGGCAAACAAAGTATCTAAATACGAGGAGCTGCTCAGGGAAGAACAACAAAAGAGAAACTCTTCCAAAGGCACATATTACAAGACCCCATCTTCTTTAGTACATCTAGTTGAAGTACAATCAGAAAAAGGCACAGAAGGCTCAAAAGAAAGAGAAGTTGCAGTGGCAGAAATGGCAAGGTTGAAACATTCCATCAACTGCAAGGCTCTGACAAAGCAACCAAAGGATCAGAAGCCACCACCTTTCACAGGAGGATTTGTTCCAAACAAACCAACACAGAACAAGGTCTATTCTTTCGATCTAACCAAGGTTGATGCTTTGTTTGATTAGATTCTACTACAAAAGGCAATAGAGACACCCCACAGGTTGCCCAAGCCAGAAGATCTCAAGGGCACACAATATTGCAGATGGCACAAATGTCTAGCCAGTTCTCTAGAGGACTGGAATAGACCTTTTATTCTGAACCTCCAGAACTCTGATGTTTAGTCCCAATCAACAAGAAAAGAATTGAGCTGCAACAATCCGATCCATTACAAAAAGATTGTTGATATATTGGGAAGAAATGAAGCTCTTTATGTAGAATCCAGTCATCAATATGGCAGAATTCACCCATGAGAGCACTGAAGAGAAGGAAGAGAGTTTATAGGAGAAAATACTGGATTTTGCACAAGCATCACTAGATGACTCTTTACCAGCAGTAGAAGATCCATTACAGGAGATAAACTTAGGAACATAAGAGGATCCAAGACCCACTTTCATTAGTGCATTGTTCAAAGAACTACTCAAGAGTGAAATCATTGCACCTTTGCTTGATTTTAGAGACTGTTTTGCTTGGCATTATCATGAGATGCCTAGATTGGACAGAAAATTGGTAGAACACAAGTTGTCAATCAAAAAGGGCTACCTTCCAGTCAAACAGGCCAGAAGAAGGATGTTCATGGAAACAGAACTAAAAGTCAAGGAAGAAATAGAAAGACTAGTCAAGGCAGGATTCATCAGACCAGCCATTTATGCTAATTGGCTAGCCAATATTGTGCCAGTTTTGAAAAGAAAAACAGGGGCAGTTAGGATTTGTGTGGATTATAGAAATCTAAATGAGGATCTCCCAAAGATGAATATCCTATGCTAATGGCAGATATGTTGGTAGATGGAGCTTCTCATAATCAAATGCTATCTTTTATGGATGGCAACGCAGGATATAATCAGATTATGGTGGCAGAAGATGATGTCCATAAGACAGCCTTCATGTGTCCAGGGCATATAGGTGCTTTTGAATACACTGTAACACCTTTTGGCTTAAGAAATGCAAGAGCCATTTATCAAAGAGCAATGAATTCTATTTTCCATGACATGATAGGTCATTCTCTAGAAGTTTATATAAATGATGTGGTGATTAAGTCCCTAGAAGAAGGAGATCATGTATCAAATCTGAAAAGGGCATTCCTAAGAATGAGACAACATAAGTTGAAAATGAATCCCAAGAAATGTGTTTTTGGAGTTCAAGCAGGATATTTCTTAGGTTTCTTGGTCCACCAAAGGGGCATAGAGATTGATAAAAATAAGGCAAAATCCATGATAGAGATTGCTCAACAACACAATCTAATCGGAGAATACTATTCTCAAGTAATGCTGCTAGAACTAGAAGGTTTGGATACCAGAAAAATTGACACCCTCAACAAACTCTTAGTAGGAAAATAGGTTGTATCAAGGGCCTACAACAAAAAAGTTAAAAGCAAGAGTATTGAAGAGGGAGAAATAGTCTGGAAAGCATATATGCCCCTCAGAACACACATAGCTGGTTATGGAAAGTGGTCACCTACATGGGAAGGTCCTTTCATAATTAGGCAAATCCTTGGACTGGGGGCATACAGGTTACATGATCGAGATAGAGACATCTATGCAGCACTAATCAATGGCAAATGATTGAAAAAGTTCTATCCAACTATGTGGGATTCACAGGCAGTGCAAACAAATCCTGGGATTGAAGAAGGAGAAGATAGAACAGTTGTTTAAATTCTTGTTCAGAGTTGCGATTTAAATTTGCTTTAATATATTTGCCTCCTTTTGTTTTATTTAGGCAAAGAAAATCGAAAATGCAAAAAGTTCCACAAAAATAAATAACTTTTATTAAATATAGTCATTGATTATGACTAAGGTTTTATTACATTCAGAAAATTAAAATTAAAGCCCTAGTTTCCTAAGGGTCTCTTGCAATCCGGTCTTTTTGGTAGAAATTTCTTGCTGGAGAAGGATCCCTTGATGAAGAGAGACCAATGCAATTTTCAATGCTGGCCTAGAAGCCACAACCATGTTCTGCACAAGGAAAGTGGCCTTGGTCTTAGTACCTAGTCCAGCCCCAAGTTTGTTCTGCCTCTCCCTTAGCACAGCCAGCTGTTTTTGAAGTTCTTCAATCTTTTTATCCAGCTTGTCAGTAGTAGTCTTGGCTTCCTTGTAGCCTGTAACCATCTAGTCCTGTTCTGCCTTCTGCTTTGCATAATCAGCCAAGTTGGCTTTATGACTAGCCTTGCAGAACTCAGAGGCTTTGAAAGAGTGCTTGAGATCCTCATAGCAATTGTATGGATTGAGCACATCCCTAGCTAGGCCCAAGTTGAGCTCAAGGATAGGCCTGGGAGCCATGTTCTCCCTATGGAGCAGGTCCATATCTTTCATCAAATGGTCAAAGGCCTCACCACTATCATCCAGATCCAGCTTGGCAAATTGCCAGATTTTCACTCTATCCACATCCTCATCCACTGCCTTGGATTTAGCTTTACCAGGAGTGGAGCTGAGCTTCTCAAGCTTGTCCAACTGAGCATCCAAATCCATGGCTTCAAAATCTGCCAACTCTGGATCAGTAAAGGAGGTCATGGTAGATGAACCTGGGAGAGAATGGATGGGCATCTGCAAAACAAACTCAAGTCAGTTCCAGACAAAGTCAGAATAGGAAAAGAAAGGAAAGACTAAGGCACAAAAATACTCACTGCCACAATATGGGGCTTGAGTGGGCTAGTCACTACTGCCAAATTCACCAGTCTTAGGCAAGAAAAGAACTTACTTGAGAGATATTCCTCAACCAAATTCACAATCGCTTGTTTGGAAATTAGTAACTAGGGGCGCAAGTTATCTATTTTTAAGAAGTCTGTTAGGATTTTCATTGCTAGTAGTGGCACGCTCGCACACAAAAGAAAATTGACTTGTTGGCCAGTCAACGGTTTTCAAGAAAATGGGGAACTTTACCCTACCATCACAGGAACAAGCATAAAACGGGTGAAAAGTTGCTCAGTACACAATGCCAAGAATTCCGCAACAGAATGGTGTGGCTGAGAGAAGGGATCTAACTTGAAGGACATGGTTCTTAGCAAGCTTTCCAAAACTAATTTGCCTATGCTTTTTGAGAGAGGCGATTAAAACAACAAACTATAGAGTGTCTAGTAACTCCGTACCAAAGACTTTTTTTGTTGCTTTTTCAAAATTTGGACTATCAAAAAGCCTAACTTGCGACATCTTCATGTATGGGGTTGCAAGGTTGAAGCTAGAATCTTTAACCCTCAAAAGAAGAAGCTAGATCCTAAAACGATTAGCTGTCGTTTTATAGGTTATACCGCAAGGTCAAAGGGTTTTATATTTTACTGTCCAAATTATGGTACTCGAATTGTTAAGACTGGTTGTGCAAAGTTTATAGAGTATGAGGAGAATACTACTGAGAATGAAAATTTTCCTTTTGAAGAAGAAGGGGATGTGACTGTGATTGAGAATGCTTAACCGGACCCTACAACATTGATTCCCATGAGTGATATCGCACCAACCCCACAGAATGATCAATTAGAGCCTTCACAGTTTGAAGAACCAATTGACCAACAAGAAGAACAAATTGTATAAACCCACAACAAGAAAATTCACCCAAACCAATGTCGTTAAGGTGATCTGATAGAACAAGAAGATCCACAGCAATTTCGGATTATGTGTACTTACAAAAAGCAGATTTTGACATTGGAGATGAGGCTGATCCAACAAGCTTTAAAGAAGCTATAGAGAGTCAGAATACAGACAAATGGAAGGAAGCAATGTTAAATGAACTCGAAAGCATGAAGAATAATCAAGTATGAGAATTAGTTGAACCTCACAAGAGCCAGAAATTAGTAGGCTTGAAATGGGTATTTAAAACAAATAAGGATAAGGATGGAAGAATCGAAAGATTTAAGTCTAGATTGGTAGCGAAAGGATTCACTTAAAGGGAGGGAATTGACTATACTGAGACATTTTCTCCTGTTTCCACCAAAGATTCTTTCCGCATCATTATGGCTTTGGTGACGCATTATGACCTACTTTTACATCAAATGGATGTAAAAACTGTTTTCCTGAATGGAGAACTTGAAGAAGAAAATTTTATGATACAACCCGAAGAGTTTGCAAAGGAGGGAAAAAAACATATGGTTTACAAACTTGACAAGGGAATTTATGGACTGAAGCAAGCAACTAGGAGGTGGTATTTCAAATTCCATCAAACTATTTCATCTTATGGTATTTTGAAGAGAACATAGCCAATCAATGCATTTATCTGAAGAAGTGTGGGAACCGATTTATTTTTCTAGTTTTGTATGTCGACGATATACTTTTGGCTACAAATGACCACAATTTACTGAAAGACACTAAGGAACTAATTTCAAATAATTTTGAGATGAAGGATTTGGGAGAAGCCACTCTTGTGTTAGGCATTGAAATTTAAAGAGACCGAGCTCGAGGTCTCCTAGGCCTGTCGCAGAAAACATACATTGAAAGGATACTCAAGCGTTTTGACATGAGTATATATGTTCTAGACAAAAAGTTCCGTTAGCTAAAGGAGATTTAAAGAAGAAGCATTGCCCCAAAAATAAAGAAGAAGATGATGAGATGAGGAACAAATCGTACGCTTCTCTAGTTGGAAGCATTATGTATGCACAAGTGTGTACAAGGCCAGACCTAGACTTGTGCATTAGCAAGATGGGGAGATTTTAGTCAAATCCTGGAATGCAACATTGGATAGCTGGAAAGAATATTCTAAGGTACCTACAGAGAACAAAGGCTTATATGTTGATTTACAGATGCATGGAAAATTTAGTGCTTGTTGGTTATGCTGATACGAATCTTGAAAAAGCAGAGGATGATTATATCTCTACTTCAAGTTTTTTTTTCAAGATGGCTGGAGCAACTGTTGCTTGGAAGAGTGCTAAATAATTTGGTGTTTCGAGTTCAACCATGTTTTCATAATACATAGCTTGCTATGCTCATGCAGTATGGCTATGGAATTTTATTAAAGACATTAAGGTGGTTGACTCAATTTCTAGACCAATACAGATATATATATATATAATGACAACACTGCGGCTGTTTTTCACTGCATGAACAACAAGATGTCGTCTGGACTTCAACATATTGACAGAAAATATTTAATAGTGAGGGAGAATGTAGTGGACAAACTAGTCAGGTTTGATCATATTAGAACTCAACATATGATTGCAAATCTGTTCACAAAGTTTCTTCCTTCAGAAGCTTTTCTGAGATATGTTGAGAGCATGAGATTATTTCCTAGCTTTGATGCTGCAATCTAGTGGGAGTTTTTGTTTCCCATTCTAATAGTTTTCTAGTATGTCTAATTTTGTTGTTTTCTAGATTGAGGGATTTGCATTTAAGGATGTTAATTTGGTTGACAGATTTATTTATTATTAAATCATTTTTACCATGTTGACTATTTAGTTGTTTACAGTTATTATGCATGTGAGTTTATGGTCTCTTTTGAGATACTATTGTTTTAATAACATTGCGGATTGACTCTGGCTAAGTCGTAAAGGGGTACATGTACTGAAAAGCATAAAGATTCACATTACATATCAATACATATTAATGTTCGCGTTGGTAGGTGCTTCATGTGTTTTGAAATTGCATTATGTGATTATAGATGGCCTGTTTTTAATAAAGAGAGCAGTGCTTGTCTATATTCGTTTTGTCTAATCACTTTTCATTGTAGCTTGAAGGAAGGACTTAACTATTTTAAACTCATGGCCAATAAAGATTATCAAACCTTTTGGAATATAGAAACTTAGTGCTCTAGTGCTTGATCTAGTGGGAGAATGTTATGTTTCCTAGTTCGATTGGTGCACTAGATACTAAGTTCTATCAAGTTTTGATAAGAGTTTAAATTAGATTATACCTTGAGGCCCAAAACCTTGTGGAATAAGGAAAAGTTTTGAAGCCTACTAAGCGGTCCTATTTATTTCCTTTTGCATGAACCGTTGCTTGGTGGGCTTGGAAGATAGTCAAGTCGGCCCTCGGTGATGAGTAGAGACGACTTGACCTAGCCTATATAAGGTTAAGGCTCTGCTCTCATCAGACACGTTCTCTAACCCTAATCTCATCATAAAGAGAGAGTTGAAACATATTCTGAGAGAGAGCAGAAGTCTTGAGCCGTTCCTATTCTTGCTGGGATTGTTGCTACTGAGGTCGTGTACTCAATGTGAAAAAGAATGAACATGCATATAAAGAAATCTTACATTGCATACATACATTACAGAGGTTTCATGTTGAATGGTGACAGGAGAAAGACAAGCCACTCGAATTCGACGCTTGTACTTGAAAACAATACTAAGGCAGGACATTGCCTTCTTTTTGAGAGATAGCATGGAAATGATCAATCTTTATAACGTGACACACGGACATGGACATGTGCATGTGATTTGAATTAATGTATCAAAGAAAAGACGAGAAATTTGAATTAGAAAAACTAAATCCACTAATTAATGCATGGAAAGAGTAACAACAGCTCATATCACGCAGCTTTGTGACGGTGGTCAAGCTATAGCCACGTTAGTTCCACCACAGAAAACGAACTCCCAAGGAAAAGGGAGCATACATCAAAACAAACTCCCAACGAAAAGGGAGCATATACCAAAGTGTTCAGACAGGAGTCCATATGTGAATCTCAGAGCACATATATCACACACTCTCGGGTTGATTAGGAGTTACCTGCTGGTGCTGCTACATAATTAAACCACAGTACAATCTTCTAATGATGCTAGATATCCAAAGCCCATGAAGAGATGTTCAAACAAGTGTATATTAAAATAATTTTGATCATCCAAATAGCCATAATTTGGCTCGTATTATTGGAATAATTACTTGAGTAATTATTAGTGGTTGTTTTTACTACTTGAATAATTATTTTGATCTTATTCACAATTTGACTTGTAGCCATAGTTTCGCTGGAAATAGCGAAGAAGATGAAAATTTGGACCAACTAGCTGGATTCATCATCAACTGGAAATCATACCAACATATACGTGTAACGTGTGTGGTAGAGTAATCTTAAGACCAATGGTGAAAACCTAGCTGGAATTGTTAGCTGAAAATCTCGTGAATCATTGTTGTAAGCTGTTTGAAGTTGGTTGTGACCAATGCGATCAATTTGATAGATGTCGAGATAGCTTGTGTTGTGTGTCTCTCTTCTTATCATCTTCTTTATATCATTAACCTAACTTATCGTGCAAGACTTTTGATCACAACGTAATCCCTATTCAAGCTTTTACACGTAAATCCTTGCTAAATCATATCAAATCACCACAACTGGCATAAAGAAATAAGCCACAACCACAACTTGGTCCACGACAAAGTCGGACCCAAGAATGCAGAATTTGGCAGAGACAAGTCTGCCAGAACTTATATCATTTGTTGATTATTCGCGGTGGGTGGATGACCATTTGAAGTCATACCAAAGGTCTTGAATCTTTTAGGACATACATTTCCCTTCCATAAGGGCAATGTCATATTTGGTCTTCTATTGAAATCTAGTTGCCTACTAATTTGAAACCAATGACCCAATGAAATTGTAGCTAATAGGAAAGAACGAGGAAAGGGAAGAAGGAAAACAAAATAGCAAAGCCATTAAAATTAGAATTAAAATTGCCATCTTAGTGTTGGACCATGCATGCTGTAAAGCATTATATTGAGGGCAGTCGAAGAAAAAAGTAGGAAGAAATGCAGCCGAAGAAATTTCATTTTGAACTGAAAATTAAAATAGCAATAAGGGGGCTAGATACACTTGAAATAGAGCCATTTTCTTTGGGAGGCTTCAATTCAAGGCTACATGTATTCAGAAAAGATGTATATCAAGCTTAGGTCAAAGTAAGTAGCTCTCTTGGTTTAGGATTTGTTCAGAGATCAAATGGAAGTCCACGCGACATTGGTATTTTGAAGACCAGGATCAACATTCAAAAAGGAGATTGAGATAATAGTAATACTGCTGCAAATCAGCCTTTGTTTTTTTGACTTGGGGAAATGTATGTGTCAATAATCTGCTTTTTTGCATGCTTGCAAGTTG